ACCTATGTTCATCAGTGGACTTGGATAGGCTGTGAAGATGATGATGGTGTAACTTTCACCAGTCTGTGATATTTCTAATGCTGCTTCACATCATCCGTTTGGATTTGTGTTTGTTATTGGTTGAGTTTCCCACCAACAGCTGATTGCCAGAGTTTAAACTATTGGTGAAAATAGTAGTACGGCGTGTGTCGTTTTACCACACGCATGTCGAAACGCAGGCATACAAGGAAACTTGTATGTCAGCGTTTTAAGGACAACATGCATTGAAGCAGCACTGCGAACTAATGACTTCATAACCCTCTTTTTTTTATAGGATAAGAGCGACAAACGAGCTCACAGTTCACCTGATGATAAGTGGTTGCTGTGGGCCATAGACATCTACATCTATCCTCAATAAAGACTCAAGATGCAGATGCGTTGTCACCCGTGAGGACTAAGATGGAATGCCTCGTAAAAAGGGTCTTCTGTTCTCTACACTCACCATACGAAACACAGAAGCGTTAAGGTGGTATTCTGTGAGAGCGTGGTCCTTACCCGGTCGAGCTGACCCATTCATGTCAGTACCAGTAATATAGCTGCGGCATGGCTCTACCGCCTAAAAAGAAGTCTTAGAATTGAGAGGCCTGTGTGCAGCAGTGGGATGTATATAGATTGTAACTTACGTGTCATATTGTAAAAGTATTTGGATGTAAAGATAATATTGCCATGTTATGGTGAAAGAAAATTTTTCACCATAACATGATTATGTGGTAACACACAAAAAAGAAAAAAACATACAGTCGAATTGAGTACCATCTCATTTTTGGAAGTCGGCAGACAAAACAAGCTTATGCTATCTTTTGTCAAGCTAGCAGCAAACTAAAAGAAGACAATGTTAATTGAGTCAAATTAGTCCAGGAGGAATCGGCGCATGAGTACCGAAAACTATTCCACCTCAATTTTTTTATGCTATTCTCTTCAGATTGTCCTACTGATGATATAAATGCATGTTGCTATGGGGCAACTCGGTGCCATATTGTTTAAACCAATTTTTTCTTTCAATTGCAAGGAATCGTTATTTTCAAACGCAACAATTTTTTTTATATTTTTTTGATGAAATACAAACAACAAAGGTTATACGGCTTTTTGATATACCTATAGTTAATATTTTCGGTGTTAAGAATTTTTAAAGGTTTGAAAAATCCCAAATTCCGATAGTTTACTCATCTGGTTGGGCTGTATAAATATATAATTGTAAATGGAAATGATAAACATACATAAATATCAACAAAATAAAATAAATGCATAAAAAATACATAAATAAATAAAAACCCAACCAGATGGAAGCCCTCGACAAGGGAGACCAAACGGCCGAGGGTTAGGGGGAAAGGGAAAGAAACCGGCGGACGATGCGGGCGGTATCGAGGAGCACCGCCTTCTGCATTTGAGCTTTGAGCAGTCCGTCACGGAGTCCCAGTCGCCCGTTCGCAGAAACGACAACAGGTATAATTTCGGCCGGCAGTCCACCCCACATGTCGGTCACCTTGTGAGCCAGGTCCAGATATTTTGTTCGCTTATCTGTTTCGGCTTTCACGAGGTTTTCGTCATACGGAATGGTAATGTCGACCAAAAATATCCTTGACTGTGCCCGGTTCATCAGCACAATATCAGGCTTATTCGCAAGAATAGTCCTGTCTGTGATGATGGCCCGGTCCCAGTAGAGCCTGGCGCGGTCATATTCGAGCACGGCTTCCGACATGTACTTATAACAAGGCAGTTTCCGATCCACGACACCGCATTTCAGAGCGAGCTCCTGGTGTAAAATCCTGGCTACTAGGTTGTGCCTATGCAAGTACTCAGAGTTAGAAAGCGCCGAACAACCGGAGATGACATGCCTAAGTGATTCACCGGGATGGCGACAAGCTCGACAAATGTCGACGGTGCCATCACTTAGGATGTATCTCCGATAGTTGTTGGTCTTAATAACCTGATCCTGTATTGCACAGACAAAACCCTCGGTTTCCCCCAAGAGGTCACCAAAACGTAGCCAGTGGAGGGAGGCAACTGTATCTACGAAAGGCTCATGTAGAGCCTTGTAGAACCTCCCGTGGAGCTCCTTCTCCTTCCATACGGTCTCCCGGTCGGAAATGCTATGTACTGCCGGGTCTTGCCATTGCTCGTTGGCTAAGGATAGAGGGGTAAGTCCTTTATCACAAAAAATAACGTCCCTATAGAATGGATCATCCGCTCTCGCCAGAAAATAATTACGGAGGCTGCACACTTCGCGATTATGCAGGGTAAGCGCGCTGAAAAAGCCGCGCCCGCCATGCTTCCCCGGCAAGTACAGCCTCATTACCGACGATCTCGGATGATGCATTCTGTGGGACGTCATTATAGTGCAGACTTTTCTGTCCAGAGCGTTCAGTTCGGTCTGAGTCCACCTGAGTATGCCAAAGGTATACATGAGAACAGGCATGATCCAACCGTTATATGCGTGTGTCTTATTAACGCTCGGCAAAAGACTGTTAAGCATTTTTGTCAAGCATGCATAAAACACATCGCAAACTGACTGCCTCATACCCGCCTCATCGACACCGATGTTCTGTGACATTCCAGGTATCGGTATGTTTCAGCCTCGGAAAGGGTCCTTATGCTGATGGGCTTAGATAAGTCCATGCCCTCAGAGTTAGCAACCCTTCCCCTTTCGACATGGAGGATCGCACACTTATCCGTCCCCAGCTCCATTCCAATAGAATTGCTAAAATCACAAGTGATGTTCAGCAATTCCACAAGATGGGAGTGACTGGAGGCGAATAACTTGAGATCATCCATATAGAAAAGGTGGGTCACTTTTATACCTCCTTTCCGAAGCTGAAATCCCCTCCCGGAACCCTCCAGTAAGGTACTGAGAGGGTTCAGAGAGAGGCAGAACCAGATTGGACTCAAACAATCGCCCTGGAAGATACCCCTTCTTATCTTTATGTGGTTCTCCGCAGCCGTCATCCGCTGGCCTAGATGACAAAGGATCGTACTCCACTGCCCCATACACTGCCCAAGGAAGTCTCGAACCGTACAGTCAACCTTGTATAGCTCGAGGACCCTCTTAAGCCATGTATGAGGCACCGAGTCGAATGCCTTTTTGTAGTCTATCCAGGCGGCGGAGAGGTTCCGACGGTTGCGTTTAACCACCTTGCCAATGACCGCGTCAATGAGGAGTGGTTCCTTTGTTCCACGACCACCGCCCCGACATCCATTTTGAGCGCGCGACATCACCTGATTTGAGTTCAGGTGACGACTGATTCTCGCGCTCAAAATGGATGTTAGTGTCTTGTATATGGTAGGTAGACACGTTATGGGGCGGTACTTGCTCGGGTCTGTGGAATCCCGGTCTTTAGGAACCAAATGAGTGATCCCAGTAGTGAAGAGGCTCATACTATCATTATTATAAGATACTCTGAAACTGTTACTGGAACTTTTAACATAAAAACATTTACAGTAAATTATAATTTTACCACGTTTTGTTAAGTCGCTTTTGTGCTGTCTGTTCGGGTCGAATTTAGTAATTGATTTTAAAATAACTTACCGATAACAGTGGTAGAGCCACGCAGCAGCTTTTGCCGTCGCACGGATGGGCCGGCTCGAACCGGGGTAGTACCACGACCTCACAGAAAACCAGCGTGAAGTAGAGATTTACCTCTGCGTTTCGCTTGGCAAGTGCAGGAGGCCGGAGGCCCTTTTTATTGGAAATGAGGCATTCCATCTTAGTCCTCACGGGTGACAACGCATCTACATTTTGATTTGTAATAGAGGATAGATGTAGATGTCTATGGGCCGCAGCAACCACTTACCATCAGGACTGGACTGTGTGCTCGTTTGTCACCCTTATTCTAAAAAAAACAACAACAAAAAAAAAAAGCTAGAAACTTGAAATTTTGAACATACCTTTGCCGCAGTTGGTTCACTTCGAAGATTACGCAATGTTCTCCCCATTCCTACTAAAGTTGCGCTGGCTCAGTCTCTTCTTTTACCGATCCTTGACTACGCGGACACTTGTTATCTTGACCTAACAGTCGAGCGACTTAATAAACTTGAGCGGCTTCAAAATTATTGCATAAGGTTTATATTTGGGTTACAAAAGTATGACCACATATCCGAATTCCGCCATAAGCTCAAGTGGTTACCGATTGGCCTTCGCAGGAATACTCACATTCTTCATCTTCTTTACTGCATTCTGTTCAATCCGACCACTCCTTCTTATTTGAAAGACCGATTTATATATTTAAGTAGTTTACACTCTTTACCTCTACGATCTCAAAATAATCTCCTTCTAAGTACTCCTAGACATTCCTCTTCCTTCTATTCTAATTCTTTTACAGTTACCGCTATACGACTATGGAATTCTCTCCCCTTACATATTAAAGAATCTAAATCTCTTCCTGTATTTAAAAATAAATTAAAACTTTATTATTACCTTTCCTCATAAGTTACTACCTGTCGTCATTCACTTTTTTTTCCTTTAATCACTTATGTTCTTCTATTTATCTTTCTATATTATATTCTGTACACCCCTTCCGCTATCTTTTAAAATAGTATCCTCTGCCCTAAGGTTGCCTGGAAGAGATCGCTGTTGTACCAATGTCCCTTTAAACCTAATACTGTAATATGTTCCTTGGTGTACAATAAAGCATATTTTACTTTACCTCGGAATCGGATGACAATGTAAGAATATGAAAAAACGTGGTATATTATAAATAAATTTTAATATAATTTTCTTGTTACAAAAACACTAAGTACTAAAATTTCCTGAGCGGTCAATTACTTGTGTTTTATTACCTGTAAGTTTATTGTGTAACACATTATCATTATATGAATATCTTTTATTTCTTCTATGTGAAAGGTTTCTTGATTTAACTGGCGACTTAAAAAAACATACATTGAACGAAACTGAATAAATACAAACATCAACATGACATTTATTATGCTCGTATTTTTGTGTTAACTGAAAGAAAGCGTCAGACAAAATGTTACTAAAGTTTACATTAATAACTATACTAACGTACAATGTCTTCGCGTCGAATGAATTAGAAAGCTTGCACGGGATCAACGGAGGTAACAGAGTAACTCTGTGCATGGATCCCGGCATCGAAAAGTACGAGTGCGAGGGTGTTATATGGCAAAGGAACTGGGTCCTGGTAAAAGGCAGCTGCGTGGCCGATAAGGCATTGTATCCTGTCATAGTTCTACGGACCAGTTCTGCGGCTTGTGACAGTATCGTAACAGGTTGGTATATAGCCCTAAGAGTGGATAACTACGAGTACTTTTAATTCTAAGACAATAAAAGAAGTGTTTCCAGTAACACACAGTTATTCATCAAGATAAACTTGGTAAAAATATTTCTCGTAAATATTGAAATGACGATAGAGATAAAGTTGGTTATCGCTACTAATTCAAGTTTGGTTCAATTGATACAAACTGATTGAATATCTGTTTCGCAGTTGCACTTTGCGGGGAGTTAATAAAGTGAAATCAGTATATTTTTTAGTTCACAAGAAAACTCTATTGGTTGGGTCGAAGGTTTTTATTGCAAGCATTGTTTGCTATTTGACAATAAGAATATATAAATATGCTCATTCTTATTGTACGTCGTTCGTTGTCCCTATAAATAATTGAATGTTTGGCCGCTAAACCTGTGGATAAATTGAAGAATGAGTCCTACCCACAAAAAGCTAATTTTAAGATATTGACTTCGGAATCTGTATATTGAATAGCGGTTTGAATTCCTTAGATAAATTGTAATTTTGCTTGTTATCACCTACAATTTTTGATGCAGTTTTCTATGCGAAAGTGGAGAAGGAGAACCTAATGGTTATTTGGCATATATTATGAATATATAAATAATTTTGACCCGTGCGATTTCAATCCTTGTCCATATTATTATGGTTGCAGTAGGAATGGTTATGCTCGACCGAGTGAGGACCACGCTCTCACATAACACTAGCGTAAAATAGTGGTTTAAAGCTGCTGTGTTGCGTATGATGAGTGTGAAGAACCAGAAACTCTGTTTACTAGTAACGATGCATTCGATCTTAGTTCTCAGGGGTGACAAGAATCTACATTTTGTCTTAATCGAAGATAAACGTAGGTCTCTATGAATCATAATATCCACTTGCCATCAGGTAGACTGTGCATTTGTCTCTTTTATTCTATAAAAATAACGTATTACAAAACTTTAAATAAAGCAATATTTGTGTACGACATTTCTATAATATGCTCTTTATAATTTCTAGATATCGATGTGTCTGGATCTCGAAGGGTACGTGCTCGCTTCATGCACCCCTCCTACCCTGCGACTGACATCGCGCTGCTATATCTTGACAGGCCTTACGATGTACCGGAGCCATTACGTAACGATAGCAGCGCTATACTGTACAAGTTTGTATTGCTACTATTATCACTTTTAGGCGAAGGAAACTTTTCTACGTAAAGACGAGTTTTTGAATAACAACTAGATATAAGTAGCGGCACGAAAGTCTAGCGGTGACCGTTATTGCGCATAAGTCCCGCTGATTGGCTCGTGCGTATCATTCGCATGCGCTGATTGGCTCTCCAGTCGCATTCGTGCAGCTGCAGCGGTAACATAGCTAGGCGTGGGCCCTCGCCCATGCCCGATTCCCCAGACTTTGCCACAGATGACTAATTACTTTGATAACTTTTACGATCTTTATAAATTTAAAAGCGTATTTGTTTGGGGCCTCGTAAAAAGCCCGTCTTAAATGCGACTGTGAGGCCGTTGTAACTACCATCAAAGACCGTGACCGTTAGATTAGATTTTCAGGAATTAGTAGCTATGTGTAGGAAGGTATTTCGTGTCAAAGCATATTTGGTATGATAGATTTATTAGGTAGATCTTGGGAACGAAAGAAAAGGGGCCTCGATGATGCGGCTACGCCTTTGTGCAACTATGTTATAGTTATAACACAAACGGGTCGACTCGACCGGGAAAAGACTGAAGGTAAAATAGCAACTTGTACAACAGCATACTGCTGTGTTTCGTACGGTAAGCGTGAGGAACCAGAGACCCTTTTTACGGAAAACGAGACATCTTTGTCTCCAAGGGTGACAACCCATCTGCATTTTGATTCTTCATCAAGGATGTATGTGGAGGTCTATGGGCTACAGCATCCACTTAACATTGGTTGGACTACACATTCCAACTAAGTTTGTTATTGTTACCATCGCTTTCGTCGATCCTGCGCGTTTGTCAACCCACGGAACAAAGTCAACCCTATTCTAATCTATTTGACTAACTAACGTAAAATATTTACTGTTGACGTGTGAAGGTTCACATGTGTTAACGTGCGTAGTAAATGATTTTTTTAACGGCCCCGTTGGTCTAGTGGTTGTGAACGCGGACCATTGATCATGAGATCCTGGGTTCGAATCCCAAATCCGGCCAAAAAACATTGTTATTGAGTTTTTCTATCAAGAAACTCTCAGTAGCTGATCGAAGCCACAAAGTTGTAGTGGAGTGTCTAGCCCCCGTGCTTAGAAAAGCACGTAAGGCCGTTGGTACTGCGCCAGATCTCTCTCCGGTCGTGTCGGTTTCCCGTTCCATCGGACTATAAGAGTGAAGAAAGAGAGAATGCACCTGTGATTGTTCTTTATAAATTAACATACAGACGAAACGAATCTGCTTGTGTGTAATGAGGGCTCTAGATAATCCGTCACCCCATTTCATCCCATGAATGTTGTAACAGGCAACTATGAGAAATGCTAGAAGTTTGTTATGGGCTTACGGCTTCCGATAGATGGCAGTATAGCCATCTCATTTAAGCCACACGTAAAATACTCAGACCGAGGCTGGACAGCAGCATCAAAGGTGTGAATAGTCTGGACTGTGATTGTCAATCTATATGCCAAGTATAACGATTAAGATATATCTCACTACAACTGGAGAGGCTCATTTTTTTTCTTCCTAAAAAACGTTACCCCCCACCCTAGGATTTTCTCCTGTATTGTGGAGGCAGTTTACAGACATAGGACAAACATCCAGACCCGGAACAATTATTTGCAGGCCATACAAATACTTGTTCCATGTGGGATTCGACCCAGCGGACCCCAGCGCAGCAACTCATTGCTAAGCCAGTGCGCCATGGAGCCGTTAAGGCTTATGTCCCGCTATGAACTTTTACAGGCTGATAAAGTAAAAAAGAAGCTACAACTATACCACGTGACACTAACACGTAAAACACACTAGTTTAAAATAAACACTGCAGTGTTTCATATCATGAGTACTAAACCAGAAAACCCAGAATTGACTATATATCTATATCATTATTTTGCATCGAGGGTGAGTGAAGGGTGTAAGTATTCCTCATAAGCCAGTGTAGACTACCAGGTGTAAGGATCACCTGTCATTGACTAAAACAGATTTTAACCAGAAGTGAAGTAAATACTTATTTATACACTTATTAAGTAATAGATTCTTGGTCTGAATGTTTTGTAGAAGTAAAAATATGAATACATGTACTATTACTACACAAGAAATTAACCTTAAACCAGACTCTGATGATATTTACATAAGCAACCAGTGTATGAGTGGCATATGGTGCAAGGGGTAAGGGAGGAGTAGTGCATTCCAAACCTGTTTCAAGTAAATTTATGCACATTGTATTTGCATCATACATCACATTTGTGAAAAACTTTGAACATATGGTTGAGAATTCATTTTATGAAAAATTAATATATTACTTTTAACTGTGCAGAATTTGAAAAATTTCAGTTAAATGTGACACATTTTTTTTACAACAGGTTGGAACCATGGCTAACAGATACCTCAGTATTCCCCAACTACCCCCAAGACACGGCTCAATGTATATAATTCAAAAAGGATTGAAATTTTCTCCTCTCCAATACGAATGTTTATCACAACCGTGGTCTTACCATTAACCTCTTTCATAGTACTCTTTCTGTTCATCACCTTCTTTACAGGCTCCAGTAAAAATTCAGTCCCGTATAAAAGTCTTCATAATAAGGAAGAATCTAATTTTGCATAAAAAAAAAAAATAAAGGAACTATTATGTAATTAATTTGATTTTTATTTATATTTGCTTAACCTAGTTTTAAATCCATTTTTGTTGTATTAGCAATAAATTCTGTAATCATTTTGTTGTTAAAGAAACAGAAAACTCATAAATATAGACAACAACCATTTATTTAGTACAACAACAGAAAAGAATGAACTATACAATTTCGTTAATTTTGATTTCTATTTATGACTGTTCTGTCTTCTCACCTAATTTCCTCTTCCATACTTTAACTTTGCCTCGAAGTTCACGCAGTCTCTTCATCTCTTCTTTAAAATCTTGATGCTCGTCTCTAAAGAGGCCATATTCGCGCAGTTTTAACATTAATTTATGTGTTTCTACATGACGTGGGTAATAATGGATAATTTCTTCGTTTGTGTGAAGAGGCCGCGCCGAAAAAATTTTTACTACTTTCATAGACTTTGAGTTGGTGGGAATAGCAACCTCACCAAATATCCTATTCGACAAGTGCTTCATCCGTCGCGCGTAGTTAGTAGATGCATTAATTAATTGCGCGTATTTAGTATAATTCGTTGCCATTGTCTATAAGTAAATAAAAAAACTCAATATGATATTAATAAAATTATCACTAGTTCGCAGTATTACATTAATATATCGTTGGTTAAAATTAACTAAAAGTTCTGTACGTATGATAAATAGCTAATATCATTTAACAATTACATAAATCATAAATATTTATTCTAATTTCTATTTTCTAACCTCAATCATAAACTTGGCAGTTGACACTTAACATTTTTGCCTATACGGCTCTGGGTTCTAGCCTTTTTAAGGTTACAATTACAATGTACAAGTTAAAATGAATAATTATCCTTCATAGTACATTACCTCACAATATGTTGATGCGTCACATTGTGCAGCCCTTAGGTGATTTTGACGGCAACTTGAGCCAGCAGAGCAGACAGCTGACTGTTGACAATGGTATCTCAAGGCGCCTAAGCAGACAGACACCTTATCTTGAGAATCACATCACCATCAGAGCACTTGTTTCACCGTTTCCACTAATAGTTCACATGCGCAGATATTTAATACTCACAATCGCACCACTTTTACATGTCAAAATTCACTTCAAACCATTATTTAAACAATAACACAGGAGCAGCAGTCCGTCGTCGGTCAAGTTCCCGCCAAAACTTGACATTTGATAGTTGACAATGACAGCACAGACTAATATGATGAGTTAGCTATGAGCACAAACTAATAAGGAGTGCTAGCGCAGCTATGAGCATTATAACTGCGCTACAGTAGAACTTCTTATTAGTTTGTGGTATAGACAGTTACGGAAACATCTATTTTCTTTATAATGTATAGATAGTTATGCATAACTCTCTAACTGTCATTTCTTATAACGATCCACTACGTTGCAACGTTGTGTTTGCTTGAACGAGTCGGATTGTTATTACATGCGATTATGATTTGTTGTAGACTTTGTTTATTTTCAAAACCGTAAAACCGTAAAAAATATTGTAAATAGTTTGATGACTATAGCATATTTATATTATTTACATAAAATGAACTTTTAAGTATGCCTGATTCGCTAAGCAAGTCCTGGAGAAAGAACGAAGGAAAGTTCATTTCAGCAACTATGGTAGAAAATGCCTCAGGCATTAAATCCGCCTATACAACATGTTGTATGAAGTTTAAATAAATAAATAAATTCGTTTAAGCATCTTAGCAGTTTAAATCACGAAACGGAATTAGTTGTGGTGATAACTCAGTTAACTTAGTAGTTATAGATAACATGGTTCTATGACTAGGTTCAGCTATTAACTATTGTTCAGTTGACGTTACATGGAAAATAGACAGTTATGAAATATAGAATATTTTTTCTTCAGTAATTAGCTTGTTTAGTTGTACAGGTTTTTGCCAGTATCAAGTAACGAGAAATTATTTTTTATAATTATTTGCTTAAAAACTTTTTCGCAATATGTTGATGTGTTAAATTGCAAAGTTTTTGGGAGATTTTGATGGCAGCTTGAACCAACGGACCTTAGATAAATGTAGGTAATATGATACTTTATTCAAGAAACACACAGTACATGACGATAGTACGTCAAGTCGCCTTAGCAGATACAATAACTTGTTCGCATCGCCATTTGAACATTTATTTCGTTGTTTCCATTGATATTTAACATGCGCAAATATTTAATTCACCAAATCACACAACTTCTACACATCAAATTCAATTCAAACCATTATTTAAACAATTGCGGAGCAGTAATCAGCCGACAGCAAGTTTCCGCCAAAACTCCAGCCAATTTATTTAGAAAAAAATATTTGTTGGAAATAAACTGTGATGTGATGACTAAAGCTTTAATCCGAACCAACAAACTCGTTTGAAACATAATCTGCGCATCCCGTAGTCCTTTGTGTTGGTTGAGAACCACCTTAGCCGCATTTTAACCTACTGCTATTTATTAGTTGGTTGTTGCTTGGGTATTTTTTTAAAAGCTAACAGAAGTCATAGTTATTTTATTAACTGGTTGACTTTACTAGACTTAGTATACACCGAAAGCAACCGCCTACACTACACATTCTTTTAACCACTATATAACCAAAACATCATAATTTTCTGTGCAACCCACGAACATTGAACTGAACATTGAATTGAATTGAATTTGCGAACTAACCACAATCGGTTTCTAAAATAGTTCGTCCGTTTATCATCGAATCATTACTCACTTAAAAAAATATATTTTCACAATTACGTCCGTACTCTTGGCTACTTATACCTTTTGCAATGCAATAGTATGCCATAACGCAATAAAATTAAAGCTCCCCGCACATCGTCACGCTCTATCTGTACCTGTAAGAAAATGCAGTTTGATACCCCCTTGGGCACTTCTCATCGTTTATGCTCCATGGCATAGTCAGTTACGTCTTTTACGTGGTAGAGTCATGCTGCAGCTTTATTAGTAGTAGGTATAGTTGTAGCACGAATGGGTCGGCTCGACCGGGAAAGGACCATGCTCTCACAGAATACAAAGTAAAATATCAGCTGAACGTTGCTGTGTTTCGTATGGTGAGTGTAGAGAACCGGAGACCCTTTTTACTCGAAACGAGGCATTACATCTTAGTCCTCACGGGTGACAACGCATATGCATTTTGATTCGTAATCGAGATAAGATGGAGATGTCTATGGACCGCAGCAACCACTTACAATCAGGTGGACTGTGTGCTCGTTTGTCACCCATATGTTATAAAAAAAATTACGCTCATGGATCGTTCCATTAAAATATCTGTATCTCTATGTGGAACGAGCTTATTATTATTTAATAGATGCCAACCTTAGAGTATTCAACTAACTTTTATTTGTTAGTTGAATACTCTAAGATGCCAGCTCTGATCATTATTCGAACTATGGAAACCTTTGGTCACATGAGTCGAATTCTAACGACTTCACTAGTAACGAGCCGTAAGGATGATAACTTGACGGTATAATATGTGACTGTCTCGTTAGTGTAGTGATCGAAAGCGCGACTGTTGATTATGTGGTCCTGAGTTTGAATCCCGGCTTGGGCTGAAGCAATAACTGGGTTTTTCTATCTAATTCTCAAGAGCAGCCCAAAGTCATAAAGTTGGCGGTGTTTTACCCTTGAGCCTCGGAAAGCACTTAAAAAAACGGGCCTTATTTATTCTTTGGCTGTCAGCTGACACCTGTCACCTGACAGTGACAGTGAATAAAATTATTAAAAAACTGTCAACTGTGAGTTTTGGCGGGTTCTGGACCGGCGATGGATTGCTGCTCCTGTATTATTGTTTAAATAATGGTTTGAAGTGGAATTTGATATGTAAAAGTAGTGTTTGAATATATAGCATTCACATATGCCGATATTCAATTTTGTGTATTGAACATCGGCATATGTGAATTATTAGTGGAAAAGGTAAAACAAGTGCGCTGATGCTGATGTGATTCTCAAGATAAGGTGTCTGTCTGCTTAGGCGCCTTGAGATACCATCGCCAACTATCAGCTGTCTTTTGACTCAAGTTACAGTCAAAATCTCCCAAGGGCTGCAAAATGTGACGCATCAACATATTGTGAAGGATAATTATACATTGTAACATAGATATAGTATATTTATTACTATATCTATGCATTGTAACTTCAGGCTCAGAAGGGCTAGAACCCAGAGCCGTAAAGGCAATTATTAAAAAAATAGAACCTTGTCCTTGCTTCTTGTTCTTGCTTATATTTTGTCTTGCTCTGCTAGTTGCTACATAGTATATATTTATCTATGTTTTGTGTTTTTGTTTTGCTGCAGTCCAATGTTGATAAAATCAATAAGCTAATTTGTAAACTTATTTAAAATGTCGAATTTATTGCCAGCACCAAAAGCTATCAAACAGGCTAAACAGGTAAATTTTGTTACCGGTAATTTAATGCTAACAGCGAAAAATAAATCAATATTGTATTTGATTTGTCTTAAAAGTTCCACTCGCTTTAATTAACATCTTTTAAATTATTTAATAATTAACTAAATGGAAGTTTTAAATATAATTGCATAATTTATCTTTTAAATGGTAATTTTAAAGACTAAAACTTACCCGTAATTTATGTATTGTATTAAATTCAAATCAATCAATCAGTCTGCAAATTATAGGTCATAGCTTTTCAAATTCAAATTTATTTATTGCCAGAATGTGGTACATAATATAGTGATGCTGTTATTTATTAATGAGACCATACATTCTGCCATGATAATGGCCTGCAATATATTTACAATATACAAACAAATATTATTATTACAATTTAATGTGGTAAAATATTTAAGAATAATAATTATGTATGTAGTTATTTAAAAATATGTTAGCGTTGAGTTTTTAAATTACAATAAATCATGTCAAAAATTTAATTAATTAGGTAATTATTTATATATAAATTTCTAGTATCTGAAAAAATATTAAAATATGTCAAAAATATAAAATAAATATTAAATGTTAAAAAAAAATTAATTAGTTTTCTATATTTCACCATTATTTTACATTTCTTTATAATTCATATATTCGTCTAACCTATAAAAACATTTTGTTGCCAGCTATTCTGTGAGTTTTCTTTTAAAAATTACGAAACGGAGGTCTTTAAAAGTGTTAGGCAATTTATTATAAACTCTAATAGCATTTATAAATACATTTCTTTTATATATATCAAGCTTGCATAGAGGCAGATAGAGCTTACATTTATTTCTTGGCATAGCACTTCTACTGACTAAACTTGAGTTAATGCTGAAATATTATGGATGCTGTTTGACAAAAACACAAAGTTCCCATATGTACATACAAACTAGAGGCAGTATGTGAAATTTGTGGAATAAAGGTTTGCATCTATCTACAGACCAACCTCCACAAATGGTCCTTACACAATTCTTTTGAACACGAAAGGCCTTGACAACCTCAACCGAGTTGTCCCACAACAAGAGACCTTATGAAAGCACTGACGAGACATAGCAGTGGTAAGCACTCAGTGCCGCTTCATTGCACACTGTCAACCGCAGCTGTTTTATAGCATAAACAAATCTCTCCAGTTTATCACATATGTACTCTATATGAGTCTTCCAGTCACAGTGTCTGTCAACCATTAATCCTAAAAATTTAGTACAGTTGACTTCTTCAAGTTTTGTACTATCATAACAGATGTTAAGTCCAGTAGGTGGAGTTCTAAAATCCTATCTAAATTGTATCATCTTGATTTTATTTAAGTTTATTTTTAAACCACCTTACCTATACTTCGTACCCATACTTCAGAATATTTATCATAACCTTTGATGGAATGAACTGATTTTAATAAAATAAAGACTAAATGTAACATGAAGATACACTTTATAATTTCCTTATCAATTCTTATGATATAAATTAGTACTTTATATGTGATAAGTTAACAAACAAACAGACAGACAGAAAATTCTAAAAATGGTAGAAATGTATTTATTTACTTATTTTTAGTACCTCTCAATCACTTTTATTACAAAAATATAAAATATAAAGTTGTCTGCTTTTCACAATTCCTCAGAGCCCTCCACGTGTTAAATCGGGGCCGAGGCTCCCCAGCAGAGTGGCTCGAATCGTCGACGACCGAGTTCTCTTTGATTGGCTCGATTTTCTATCGTATTTACCACGGGGAGCGCTCTGAGGAATTGTTCAGATTAATTCCAGCCACCAAATTTCACCAACACACATCGTCACAAATCTTACGTTACCATCCACATCATTTGGTGCTTGGCGGTCGATTTATTAGGAGTTTTCTTAGGAATCCTTTACCAACGGCAATTTTTATGGACCGATACGACTTAAGGATATTAACTTCAAGAAACGAGCTTACTCCTTTATAAAAGGCCGGCAACGCATCTGCAACTCTCCTGGTGTTGTAGAATTATATTTAAAAAGGCTATCTTGTTGACTGGTTGTACTGGTTGTACTGGCTGACAGATGTTTCATGTTAAAAAACCAACGTCAGTGTGCCCCGACACAGGCCCAGCCGATTTCTTTATTGGTACCGGTACAGTATCGTTTACTGTTTCACTTCCTTAAATATTGTAGATGATTAAATCGGCATCTGGTATAATATTTTTATCGATAACAGTAATCGATAAACTTTGTCAATCACTAACTCTTTGGTAAATAAATCATGACATTACTGGATAACAGAGGGCGCTTATCCAAATAATGATAAATGTTCTAGAACAATCTACCAGAAATAATAAAATTTAAAAATTATTGGGTAAATAAACATTATTCTTGCGACAATCAAAAACTGATATCACATTCAGTTTTTGCTTCATATCAGAACTTACAATACCTTAATGCACAATCGGGCATATTTTCTCTAGAAACATTTTTCAACTTAGAAAACGAATGCGTGTTGAGCTTTTGGCAATGTCACTAAGACTAAATGATACAAATCCGAAATATATCCTATATGACATAAGTAAAAGGTGACAATTTTGTTGGTGATGTCCAGTCTATTACTACTACTTAAATGTCTTTGGTTATTATGCACTTCTTATTAATTTGTAGATTTTATGACATTAACATAGTGATTACTCCACTCAGGAGAAAATTCACTACAACGAGTGAAAATTATTTATTGCAGCACCCCTGACGATTTAACTCCACTTAACAACACTTATCTGAGAACCATCGCCAGTGAATTACAAACCCTTTACAGAAAACCGTATCGCATTTCTTTGCGCACTTATTTGAACATTAATTCAAAGTCCCGTGCTACACATAGCTTCAAAGAAAAATTTTTTTCTATATATACTTAGGTAATTGATTTACCTAGTTATAAAACAATAATGATTGACACGACAGTTCTAATTTTAATTAATTTAATTTAATTCCTTAATAAGTACATAATCTATACATATAATAAAAATGTAAAAAGCAGACGTCTGTATATATATTAATAAAAGTGATTGAGAGGTACCTACTAAAAATAAATAAATAAATACATTTCTACCATTTTTAGAATTTTCGATGTCATATCATAAATCTAAAATATCTATCTAAAACGCAGTAAAGAAAAGTATTAAAGAACGTAATAAATATATACAAAAAATATATTAACCTTATTAACTAAATCTAAAGTACAATAGTTAACCAATTTCATCGATAGCGATTATTAGCCATGTAAAAGAAATATTTTGGCCCCTCGGAACTACCAAGCAGTGGCTATAAATTCTGAAATATTGAGACACTTTCATGGTGAAAGTTTCAAATACACGTCTATTGACAGTGTTATTGAAGAAGATGATGATTCTACCCAGTAGACGCCTGGTCTCACAGCACATATAATTACTTTAAAAATGGGCGTCCCCATAATTTTGTTGAAAAAGGAGAATGGGATTTTTGGGCCTGAAGTTAACTAATTGGTTTATACTTTAAAAAATTGGCCATATTTTTATAACGTAAAATACAAAAAAGTAGATTTTTTTACAATATAGAATTCGAAAAAACAATAAATTAAGAAATAAGTTATAAAATCGATTGTCGTGTATTCTTTATATTTCAATAAATCGATTACCATAAAGAATAACTAGTCAAATCCTCGTTTCTTAACGTTATCTTACTGTGCGTATATATTATATAACATAACATGTTATAAACCATGTATCAGTAATGAGGAGACAGAATGTTATAACATGTGTTATATAACGTGACACAAATGTTATATAACTCGAGAGTATTTTTCTCTAGTCAGTAAACTATGTTTGTGTGGGATGAACCCAGTATCTATGTTTTTTTTCCTTTTGTTATTTAAAAGTACAAAGTTGCTGCAGCAGCTAGCATAACGTCTTCTCGTGTCGACATTGTGAAAAACACTGCATGACGACAAACTACAATGTCATATAACATTGTTATTCTAATGTGTGTTATATGTTGCAATGTTGAAAAACCATGTAACATAATGTGGTCGTGTTATAAAACAAAAGTTACACAACATGTTACTTAATCTGTACGCACCCTTAGAATAGAGGACTTTTTATTTTAAAACTTGATAGTTCAAATTTCAAACTATTTACTTAAAAGAAAAAGACATTTTCGATTTTTTTAAACGAGCGCAATATAATCGATTCTCGATTAAATTGAGCATTTTAATATCTATTTTTGATTATTTTTCTGTGTTAAGGAGATAAAAAATATTTGCGTTGTTGTTAATTGCTACAAAATAATAATAAAAAATACAAAATATCAACATTCCAACAAGTAACAGTTACAACAACAATTCAAGTAATCGATCTCAGATCGATATCCCTAATATTCACTTCACTTAGTTGTTGTTGTTTTAACTTTCGTTAATCGTTTCACCATTTCGTTTCATTAGTAACCACAGCTTTTTTGGTGATTTTGTACTGATCCTGCTTTTATATATTTAAGTAATTAAAGTGAAAAATAGCCTGTTCCAGTGTAGGTAATAGATAATCTCACTTTTACTTATTCTACAGTAACTCAGCTCCTAGATTGACAAATCTTGTCAGATTTTCCAGCTATGAATTTTTTACATATACGCTTTCAAATGGTTCTACTTTCATCTTATTAACACTTGTGCCCAAGAATGTATGGAGACGTCTCCTTCTCCTTTATGTCCACCTAAGCTTTGTAACGGAACTCGACTAAAAGTTACAAAATTGCAACAAAATGTCATTGAGGGCAAAATTTTAACAGGTTGCTGTGCCGGTGATATTGTTTTTATATCTTGAATCTCTCTTATACCTAATAACTTTCCTTCCAGTTTTAAGTGTGTTCAGTTCCCAATCAGCGCGTGTTATGCGATAACCGTAAATAAATCGCAAGGTTAAGAACTTTACGCGTAGGTACTGACTGTTTTGCACATGGCCAACTCAACGTTGCTTTTTCCCGCGTTAGTAGCCCCCGTAACCTTTTTGTTTACGCCCCGGCTAAGTATACTTCTAACGTCGTTTACACAACAGCTCTATCATAAACGACATAGAAGTTAGAAATAAAAAAAAATCTTCCTTGCACAACTTCCTTGTGGAATCGATTACCACCAGCGATTTTTCCGGACCGATACGACTTGGGGTCCTTCAAGAAAAGAGCCTACTCCTTTTAAAAGGTCGGCAACGCATCTTTAATTCCCCTGCAGTTGTTCATGGGCGGCGGTAGTCACTTACCATCAGGTGAGCCGCATGCTCGTTCTCCTATATATATATATATATATATATATATATATATATATATATATATAAATGAAAATTTATGCGAGAGGACTTTAATAGACTGTAATGGTTTATAAATATTATAGCCAGCCACGCCGCCTACTGCTCTGTCGCTGAAAGTGAAACTGCTTCTGGTGCTGATGGGGCTTTTGCTGTACGTGTTCGTAGTAATTTTTGTGAAGACCATGTACATGAAGGGCAAGAGGTTGGACCGCATAGCTGTCATGGTAAGCAGAAAAGCCGAAAGTATGTTAAAATTGTGCAGTCATGTAGTTCAGGTTCCACAAATCAATTTTCATTTGTTAACCAATACACACTTTTTTGGGGCAGCGCGGTGGACACGTTCTTGCCCTACAACTCTATCAGAAGCGAGAGGAGGCCTGTGCCTAGCAGTGAGACGTATATTATAGGCTGTAACTTTATTAACTTTTACACACTATTTCGAAAAAGTAGTTTATTTTTTCATCTAGTAGAGATATTGTGACTTTTTTTTGGATTTTACCAAGTTAGTAGATTTTTTTATCAGGCGCGCTGTGTGGGACGGGATCTAGGGCATTAATCTAAATTTGCTACAGATCCGATTCCGCTTTTTTTTTGTTTGGTGTGTTTTAATGTCGTATAAGAATACTCTAAATATCATAATTATCTAACAGTTGTTATTGTTTACGCCCGAACGGTGGTTTCGGAATCGACGTCAGAGGGCGCGCGGCTCGGTGCCATACCGGTTTTGACGTCGGTCGAGCGGTGGGTGTTGAGAACGCGTAAAGGTGCAAACGAGTCGTCTGCCAGCTGTGCTAACGCCAGCACGCTGTCAATTTTTGTTCGGGAACTCGGAATAATTAGGCGCGGCTAGTAAATAACTGTCTAGGATTTGTAACGCGCATTCCTTGCTGGATAGCTTCCCCGGGACTCATTGTGTATGATTCAAAATCTGTAGAAGTGCATTCGACAATATTAGCTAATGCGGCTTTGATATTCTAGAAATAACTGTTGCTACGCGAAACGATAGTGACCTTTGATCCGGACACTCCCTGTTCTTTTTGAGTGTTAAGCTTTATAACAAACGAGAGTTAGTGGCTTCTGTAAGTTAGTTAATAGTACGATAGTTAATGGACTGTCATCGTGACGAACGAAGAAAGTGACTGTAGATGGCGCCACGGAAGATAACCTCAATTTGGAGTGGTGTTGACGCCCGAGCTGCTGCCGACGGCAAAGGTCTGCTAAGGTCAATCACCATCAGCCACACCCAGATACACATCACAGCACCTTATTTCCCTTGCACCACACAACCACATGCGACCTGACCGAATCCTGAGGGAGCAGTCGCCTTGGATATAGGTAAGTGAGCTCCGTCTAATATTCTCCCTGTTGAATGGCCGTAGTATAGAACGCTCCCCCTTATTGTTTAGTGTAACTAGAGATTTTTCCACTTTGGCCTTAGGAGGCCCGACCTACGTCTGTTCGTTGAAACTCTGCTGAATGGGCCCCTGAGGATTTGACCTTTATGCGAGCAGCCGTAGGCCGTAACAGTTATATTATATTTGACGGATTCATGGCGTAGTGATTTAGCATTGAGTTGCGGCGCGAGGGCCGCTAGTTCGAATCCCACATAGAACAAGTGTTTGTATGGTCTACAAATGATTGTTCTGGATCTGGAGGTTTGCCCTTGTGCAACTTTGTACTCGTATGTAAACTACCTCCATACATAAGTTGCACAAGGACAAACCCTCATACATGAGAAAATCTTAATGTGGGGGGTATAAAAATCTAAATCTAACTATTGATAAACAGGCAATGGAGACAGAGAATCTGATACATCAGGTGCACATTGTCGACCAGAACATGGCTATTAACATGGACCGCCTTGAGGACGTCTACGGGGACTACTAAACTACCTTTTGTCTCGACCACACTGGCCTATGTAAATGTTTCTACGCCTCCCACCCCACCTTCCTGTCTATTCTATGTACTAGATGGCATAAGATACACTAATTAAATTACGCTTTAATATAGATGTTTAAAAAGTTTTGAAAGAAAGTAATTTAAACGATGTTACCAGTCTGTTAGGTACTTAAATACATAACAATAAAATTAAAAGTTTAAATATTGGTGAAAATATGAACATTAAGTGTATTGCTAAATGTGTCTAAAGTTTATATTTTGTTTTAATTAGTTTAAATCATAATTGTTATTTAAAATTAGGTATGCTACACACATTCTATAACATACTCTGCCTGCCTCCTTATTCTAGCAGTCGTGAAAGCGACCTGTTGATCACGTGGTGCCGGGTCGGGCTAAATTAGTTATTGGGTGATTCTGGCAAGAAAATCTCAGTAGCGCTAGGTGTCAGGAAGTTGGCGGTATTTCAGCCCCTTGCCTCGGAAAGCACTTAGCCGTTGGTCCTGAGCTTGATCTCTCTCCGGTCGGGGCGGATTGCCGTCCCGTCGGACTTTGAGAGAGAAGGAATCATGAGGACATTATATTATATACTCAGAAGGAATAGAGTGCACTTATGTTTGCGCACAACACACTCGTGCATTACAATTACAGTTTAGAGGTTATTTAAACTGTTCTATAATCCTGTCCTGTGCAAATGACTATAGTAAAATTATTTTGTCCATGCAGTTGGGTTCATAAATCATAGCTCGGCCTCAGCCCGGTTAGGGCAGTGAGCAAATTGCGCGGGCGCAACGCCATTATCGATAACAGCAAATGAATCATCGAAGGCACGGCGGCGGTGCGGTATACAAAGGGTGGTGCGACATTGTTTTGTTATGAGTCATTTGTTTTCCATTACTACTCCCTACTAATTTAGTACATATATCGACGAGAAATTTGTTTTTGCGCATTCGCTCTCTGAATTTCTTTAGTGACACAATGGATACTCCTTTGTTTTGTACCAAAACGGCAGAATTTATTCAAAATAATATTTTGCTTGTTGGCACCAATATACCAGCACAAGCACGTGTTTATCAACAATGTGTTAACATTTTTCACTGAAATGAAAATAGATCCCGAAAAGTTACAAAGTGTTAATTTCTGCCGTTCTCGTGAACTTGCTGCGGCGATATGTGATGTGAGTGTTAGAGCGGTCGACAAAATTAAAAAAGAGTGTATAAAGGGAGAAGTTAGCTCTCCGCGACAAAGCGTCTATCGGCCTTGTACAGTAACTGCGTTAGACGACTTTGACAAAAGTGTAATTAAACAAATAGTGTCATCGTTTTATCGCGACAGTGAATATCCTTTCACGGCTAAAATTTTGAGTACAGCAAAAGAAAGAATTGACGGGTTCCAGTGTTCTATTTCTTCTATGCGTAAAATACTATCTAGTATTTTACGCATACACTTGGGTACACGTACACACAAGCTCCAGATGGTCGTTAACAATTGATGGAAAGGACTGACATTGTTTGTGCGCTGCTACAATTCCTGAAAAAACTCAAGACCCTGAGAGATAGTGAAGACATTCGACCAAGAATTTATTTAGATGAGACTTGGGTGAACCAAAATCACAGCCGCAAACGAATTTGGCTAGACAAGGATGGACAAGGCGGCTTAAACACAAAAACGGGAAAGGGAGGCAGACTAATCGGTAAATATTCTTTCATCTTCTGTGTAAGAAATACGACTTAATAATAATTTAATACAAAATATGATATTCATTTAATTATGTTGTTTCAGTTTGTCATGCAGGCTGCGCAAAATATGGTTTTATACCCGAAGCCAGATGGGTATTCCGTGCTGTGAACGAGGACTACCATTCAGAAATGAATGACGAAGGCTTCACAGACTGGTTTACAAAGCTGCTGCAGAGTCTTGAAGACCCATCAGTCATCATAATGGACAACGCACCCTACCACTCCCAGCCCATAAATCGGGCACCGACATCAGCTAACAAAAAGAATGAAATTCAGGAGTGGCTCCGCCAACACGAGGTTGAGTTTAGTGATAGTGAGCTTAAGCCGGAACTATTACAAAAGGTATTTCAGATTTTGTTCTTTAAAGTTTGCAATACGTTTGTTTTTTTTTAAGTATTTAGTTGAATATACAAACAACATTATATTTACAGATGCAACGGAACTGACCAGAAAAAAATCGAAGTGTTACTGCATGAAGCAATTTCAAACGTTTCGCAAAAGAACTGGGAAGATTGTGTGAAGCATGCAGAAAAACTCCAAGAGGAAGACTTGAAGAAATCTCATCTGGCAGAAGATATCGTGATTCATGTGGATGACTATGACTCTGATGATTCTGATGTAGAATTTTAATGTAAAGTTTGAGACTTAAATTTAGATATAAGTTATTATCTTTATATTTATATTTATTTTTAATATAACTTGTTACATCCCAAACATTTGTACTTATACATAGTTTTTTTTAATACATAGACACCTAATTAATAATTTATTTTAAATCATTATTATTCTTATTTTAATAAATACGTTGTTTTATCTACTTTTTTTTCATTGTTATCACTAACCCACATAATGACAAAACTAAATACACTATCGATAACACTTATCGACAACAATAATGCGCATCACTATGCTCGCCCCTAAGGCCCGCGAGTGGGAGAAAGAGCGAAATACTTCGATGATTTATGACCCAAACTGCACGGACAAAATAATTGTAGTAGTCTCCGTTGAAACTGGCAGCCGTGAGTGAAATTCGATCCAGATTTATGTCTATAAATATCAATATGTCATCATTAAAAAAAACTTAAAATATAGTTTTTAAAATTGCTATGACAGTAATTGCATTTAAGTATCTGTGATAGAATCTCAAAGAGTATTATTTAAAAAGTGTTTTGTCATTTATTATGCTTATCATGTATGTTGTTTATTTTATATTGTGAATTGAATGAAATCTGAAATAAAGTTAGTTAAACTGAAAATTAGTTTCCTTTTTATATTACCCTCGCTATTTTCGTCAACTATAGTAACAGGTGTTGTATTAAATAGGCGTAACAGGCAAAAAAAAAACTTGCAGTGGAGGTGTAAGAATATGTAGTGGATATAACTCAAAATAATAATAAAAAACTGAGCTTGCTAACCCGCTTGCCATATGTGGCAACTACGGCAAATATCCCACCTGTGAGGCAATATATGCGAGAGGCCTATGTTTAGCAGTAGATTTCAAGCTTCGTTTAAATTGAGGCGAATCCCGCGCGGGACGCGGGACGCGTTACACTCGCGCCGATTGCGTCAGCTAACGTGTTGGACGTGTTCACAATGTAATGGCGCGAATAATCACACGTGCTGCAGCGAAATATATGCGGGATAGTGCCGGATTTTTTGAAATGACGTTGAACCTAAAATTCGTTATAGCATTATTCTGATATACCAAAATATATATAAAATCTTTTGTTATCTTTTCGGAATGTCGGTATCAAAGTGTGAAATTTTCCAAATTCTATGCGTTTAGTACTCGGCTTATGAACCCATTTTCTTATTTTCTTCCTCACATCTTGAGATTCTTCTTTCGTGAATAATAACAACAAAACCTCAGCTTCAATATCAGAAGACATGTTTTCCTATTGAGAAACCAAGAACAATGACGTGAGGGATTCGCCTCTTCAATATCAAAAGACATGTTTTCCTATTGATAAACCAAGAACATTGACATGCGGTATCGCCTTAGTTTGGGAGGCTAAGCGAGCGAGCGAATCGCAAAGATCCGCGTCCCGCATGCCGTGCGGGATTCGCCTCAGGTTGTAGGCTGTAATAGTAACATAATACACTATCGTGCAAAATAACAGTCATCCGTAAAATTTTCACTCATTTGTTGTTTTAAGCATAAATAATGCCGCAAAGTAACAATGAGATTAGCCACATTTCTTTCCCTCATTCCTTATCAGTCATAAAGTTCTGGTAAGTGCATATGTGCGCCTGTAATCTTGCAATAACCGGCCAAATTTGCAGAGAAGGTTCAGAAAAAGTAATATAGGCAAAAATGGTGAAGAAAATTTAATTTGAATAATCTCAAAACACTGTCCTTTTTATCTTTTTTATTCAAAATGCGTGGTAATGCATTATTATTAACTGATTTTACTGCGCACGCACACATTCGTAAGGGTCGATCGGTAAGTAAAAACGTTGTTGCCCATAAATCCATTAATTTTGGGATAATTTCAAATAAAAGTAAAAGCCTTATTTACTTGTATTTTCAAAAACTGCAATAACGGTATACCATCATTTATATATTTGAACTTAAGTTTAAAATTTGGCTACTCTTTGAAAAATAACCCTATAAAAATATCAACAAAAATAGCTTTTTGCTTAGAAGGGCTATAAATATAGCGTAAGAAACTATTCCACTTCTGATGTTAGAAATTATTCTCAAAATTATTTAACTAAATGAACACTACTCTGTAACAAGCTCTGCTTACTATCAGGACCTAATTACATGACAACACCAAAGTATGAAAATGAAAAATCATTTAAAAATTGTATAAACGAAATTATTGTTAAGTGAAATATGTTTGAAAAAAAATGTCCCGCTGGGTTTCTTGCTGGTTCTTCCCAGGACAGAGGTATTTTCCGAACCAGTTAAGTATTATGTAATAACTAATAATCAATATTGAATAAAAAAATATTCTATTCTATTCTATGCAAACCAACAGCATCACTACCCATCTTAATGTAACACTAGGCAGCCTCTCAGCAACACGATCTTCCTTGCCTACACTAGTAGAATACCCCAACGGGCATAGTAACGACAGTGAGATTCGTAGAATGATCTCTCAGTCGCCTGCGCGATACTTTATACTGCTAGAACAGGTGGGTGGATAACGTTCTACCTTCGTTTGTTCGTTTTTCTCATTCCCAACAATAGAGTTTCTTTTATTAGACATTCACTTGATAATTTATTGAATGGGACACTTACCTTGATTTGCGCTCAACCGGAACTTTATAATATGGATCTGACCGAAGCTGAATCGTCTCGAATTGTGACCGCTCGTGAAACCGGGCAAAGTCAACGTCAAGTGGCCGGAACTCTGTGAACCTTTCTACGATCCAGAGAGTGTACAAACGATACGTGGAGACTAGGGCTTTATAAGACGACGGTTCAGACCGAGAAAGCGCCACATGAAAGCGTTATGTTCGCTTCCAAAGAAAAAGAAGTGAGTGGTGTCTATGTTAGTAGCTGGACAGTAAGCTCACAAACAACTCGGAGCTGCTTCCCTGATGCCGCACAAGCCAGCAACTGAGCCCAACTCCGGAACATCAAGTTGCAAGATTACGTTTTGTCTGAGTACACGTGACTTAGTTTGAAGCCGTGTAAGAATGATTGTAGCGTGAATAGGTCGGCTCGGCCGGGGAAGGACCACGCTCCCATAGAATAACAGAGTGAAACAGCACAATAATGATGCTGTGTCGTATGGCGACCCTTCTTACTGATAACGAGGCACTCCATCTTAGTCCTCAGGGGTGACAACATATCTGCATTTTGATTCTTATCGAGGATAAATGTAGATGTCTATGGGTCATGACATCCACTTAGTGTCGGGTGAAAAGTGTGCTTATTTGTCAACCTTATTCTATAAAAAAACACTGATGAGAGAACAACGTGCGACACAAGATTACGATCACTGTAGACTTCTGTGTATACTACATATTATGTATTATACATTGCATAAACTTAAGTGTATATTAGATATTGGGGTAGTTTAATTTTTATCACAGGATTGATGGCATATTTCGTCCACCGTTAAGCTTTAGAACATAAGTTTACAAACATGGATTATTTTTCAAATAAATGTTTTCGCTGGTTCGCTTTGCGGTGTTAATTTTAATCAAAATTGTTTTATCATTTGGCCTTGGTGCTAAATAAAAAACAGATTTAGTACTTTTAAATTTTTTATTTTGTATTAGATTAAATAAAAAAAGATTAAATAAACAAGTAACAGTCAGTAAGATAAAATATTTACCACAACTTAAGAAATTTTACATTATAATTAAAGATTTCTGTTACGACCATATATTTATATAAGTTAACGGAGACATAGCACCTATTTTAGGTGGCAACCGAACCTCCACCGGAGATTCTTAGCACCCCCTGACTTACGGATCTGAGACGTGGTCCTTCACTGCTGGCCGTATGAGGAAGCTCAAGGTCGCTCAGCGAGCTATGGAGAGGGCTATGCTCGGAGTGTCTCTGCGTGATAAACTTAGAAATGAGGATATCCGCAGTAGAACCAGAGTAACCGACATAGCTCAACGGATTAGTAAGCTGAAGTGGCAGTGGGCCGGCCATATAGCTCGAAGAACCGACAACCGATGGGGAAGAAAGGTTCTCGAGTGGCAGCCTCGTACCGGTAGGCGAAGTGTAGGGCGACCCCCGACAACCTGGTGAGACATGCAGGAAGTCGATGGATGCAGGTGGCTCAGGACCGTGCTTTGTGGCATTCCTTGGGGGAGGCCTATGTTCAGCAGTGGACTTGTGAAGGGCTGTAATGATGGTGATGGTGATAGTACCTATTAACTTATTCTAATACCGGCTCTACAAGACCGTTCATACTTCCGTCCGATACTGGACGAATCAAATCAAATTATTCGCCCGGTTTTAGGCAACAATTGAAAGCCATTTCTAATTAAAACACGATGTTTCAATTAAGCTCGTAAAAAAATCTTGAGGGAAATTAGAAATTGGAACATAATTATTTTTACTTGTAAATAATCTTATTTTAAAAATAAATTATAATGCTTTTATAATAAGTGATGTTGCGTTCGCGAAAAGTTCTTTTCTTCGTATAACCTTTCTACATGGCATGTCGTTGATATTATGTTGTTTTATTTCGATGTTTATTTAGCATTTTCATTTTCACTCTCTTTTTTATTTGTCTTCGTCTATATGGAGGACAAGTTAAGTGGAGTAGTTCAGATATATAAAACGGAGTGGTTATATTCTCTTTGTAGGTTCTGGCGAATCATTTAAATAGGACGGAGCGGACGTTTGAAGGGTTGTGTAAAGCCAGCATATGAGATACGAGTCACGTATAAAGAGAACTATTTCTTAGACTTGATTAATTGAAAAAGAGATTCAATTAATGACCGCAGCGCAACTGTTAATGATTGCTTAAGTAATATTTTTTATAATTGAAATATGCAGGAGGATGTTTATTTTAGTTAATAAATACAAGTGGTAAAATTTAAATTTTTGTACAACCGACTTCAATATAAATATTTTATTGTTGATTTTTTTTTAAAACGGAATACCCTTTGCAACAAAAAAAAATATTTTCTAAATCGGTTCAGGCGTCTTCGAGTAATCGGTGAACATACATAAAAAAAGAGATTCCGACGAATTGTAAACCTTCTCCTTTTTGAAGTCGGTTGAAAAATGTCTATAACGAATACACCAATTGATATTTAATAGTGTTGTGAATTCGAGAATGAAAGGTTATTTGCTATTACTAACTTCTATATTATAATCTAAATGTTACGACAAATATTTTTTTTTATTTTAATAAAATTATAGCGACACATTTACTGCAATTGTAAGGATTTTGTATACACTTACGGCACTCTTAGTTAGTAACACTTTAAATTAATACAGATATGTAATATTTATTACTAAAGAACTTTTGATGGTTTCACAGATTTTTAGTAAAAACTATTATGTTTATGTACATGCAATTAAAATATTCTATTTATTAAAAAAAAATACAAAAATGTCCGTATTTAATACTTATAGACTACTTTACAAGTGGCGAACGACGAGGTTTCTAGGTAATTATTGTTAGATATGATTGCGATTATGCTTAACGCAATAAGTTTTATGCAATTTTAGTCCTTATTTACCCACTTGAATACTGTATACTTACATATAGTATATAGAGTATTATTTGACTTAGCGGCAAGATGAAAGAGATGCGACACAACTGTTCTAAATTAATGTACCTACACACATATTCGTACTTTATAAATCAAGCTACAACTTTTAAAATATCCTAATTATATGTGAAAAATGTAGAAAAAAGTTTGGAGTTTTTTATAGAAGATAAAAATGTAAAAAAATAATATATAAAAAAATAATAACGCTCTCTTTAGTAGTATATATATATACTACTAAAGAGAGCGTTATACTTTCAAATAGTGAATGTATTTAACAGATAAACAATACGAAGAATAATAAGTATCTCAATTATGATAAAAAGTTTGAAACCCAAAGAGTGGTACTAAGAATTACCATTACCTACGATTATGAGTACTCAGTCTCAAATCGTATTTGTGAGCGGGGTTTACACAAGGTGGTAGTGTACGAGTCCGTTGTGGAGGCCGCGGCACACGGGCTCGGGCCCGTCGCGCTCCAGCACGGCGGAGGGCGCGCACAGCCAGGGGTCGCGGCTAGCGCGCTGCCAGCGCACCAGCCGCCGCCGCAGCGCGCCCTCCGCCGCCGCCAGCGACGGCTTGCCTGCACACACACAACTCACTTCGTACACACCTATATATATAGCGGCGCGAGCCGTGACCACCAACTGACACTGACAGTATTTGTACATGTACCTTTTCCAACCAATATACTGTAGGCGGAAAACCCTTAGACATCATCTATAATCAACTGAGAATCAAAATACAGATGCGTCGTCACCCCTGAGGAGTAAGACGGAATGCCTTGTTAGCTTGTTACCAGTAAAATGTGGTCTCCGATCCCGCTGTTTTAAGCTGTTCTGCGAGAGCGTGATCCTTCCCCGGTCCAGCTGACCGTAATATAGCTGCAGCGTGGCTCTACGACATATAAAATATATTCCATTGTAAAATAAAAGGTCAGCAAAATCGGTTACCCAACTAAAAGGGCTAGCCCTACGCCAACATAATCACCACAGTTTAACGAGAGTATAACTCTGTAAACTCTATAATCACAAACCCAATGCTATTTGGTGTTTACATACTAGGCAAGTAATGCCACATAAACATGGGACTATGTCCCAGAACAACTTGTGACAGTTCTTTACACTTTAGGTCATAGTGCCGTTTGATTGTTAATTTATCAGTATTCCCGTTAGATATGGTAAAACTAACACTACTATTGTAATCTGGAGATTTTATGAAATAAATCGATATTATGTGTAGGTAATTTCATAAAGTTACACCACCATTTTTGGTGAGCCCATTCTACATACAGAAGCAACCTGTCTTCTTTTGAAAGTGCCAACTTCTAATATATATATGATAGGGTGACAAACGAGCACGCAGTCCACCTGATGGTAAGTGGTTGCTGAGACCCATAGACATCTACATTTATCCTCAATAACGAATCAAAATGTAGACGCGTCGTCACTCGTGAGGATTAAGATGAAATGCCTCTTTTCCAGTAAAATGGGTCTCCGTTTCGCTACACTCACCATACGAAACACAGCAGCATTAAGCTGCTATTTTACACTGGTATTCTGTGAGAGCGTGGGTCCTTCCCCGGTCGAGCCGACCCATTCGTGCTACAACTATACTACTAATATAGCTGCAGCATGTCTCTACCACGTACAAGTACGCACTACCTCACAGCCTGTAACTGTACTTGCTCTCTACTCGTACATGCTACAGACCGGAGCGCTTGACGGCTAATATATAGGTAACTATATATATATATATATATATATATTTATATATATATATATATATATATATATATATACATATATATACTAATATTATATATATATACTACTACTACTTAGTAGTATATATATATATATATATATATATATACATATATATATATATAATATAATAATAAATATATTGGTAAGAGGGTGATTACCTAGCCAGCCCCAGAAAAGGAGTCATCTAGGGTAATACATCTGTGTCCATAGTGACTTTACCACGTGTAAAACTACTGACACCATCGATATATATGTACTACGCACTAGATTTCGCATTCGAAACATTGACTATGTTCAACTGAACTGAACTGTACTGCAATCCGTACACTAAACTAAATATTGCGTAAATTGAAAATTTGTGAATTACATAAGATAATTATCATTACATTTTTTTAGAAATATGTTTGTTTATATTAAAATAAGAGTACTTATATTAAATTCTTATATATATTCTATATTAATATCTTATTGTACATCAAATTAAAGTCTTCGCGCATACGCGACTCTACTATCTCCCGCGCATGCGCGAAGACAGAGTAGCGCACAATTTTTGTTTGGAATAGCTTCTCCAGTACGTAGTACATATAACTCAATGCCTGACAATAAATATAACCCCTGATAGCAATTTCTGCAGCAAAGCAGGAATGCTGTGCCGTGCTGTGCTGCATGTGTACATCATTCACTTACCATCAGTTAGACTGTATGCTCGTTTGTTACCCTTATAAAAAAGCCGTGATCAAAATTAATCAATAGCAGGCTGTCCTTAGGAATTCAGTTTTTAAAATTATTATTCAACCGATAATTCTTCGTCGACGTAGTTGGTACTATTATTTACTCTGTAGTAGTGGAGAAATTTAGTACGGTATTAAAAATCAAAAACGTCGCGTTTTCTTGTAACCTACTTATCTATACATATAATAAAAATGTAAATAGCAGATGTCTGTACATTTTATATTTTTGTAATAAAATTGATTGAGAGGTACTAAAAATAAGTAATTAAATACATTTCTACCATTTTTAGATTTTTCTGTCTGTCTGTCTGTCTGTCTGTCTGTCTGTCTGTCTGTCTGTTTGTTTGTTAACGTATCACGTATAAAGTACTAATTTATATCATAAGAATTGTTAAGGAAATTATTAAGTGTATATTCAGGTTACATTTAGTCTTTATTTCATTAAAATTGGTTAATTCCATCAAAAGTTATGACAAATATTCTGAAGTATGGGTACTAAGTATAGGTACGAATTTGTTCAATATTGGCGTTGGATGAGTCATCAAGTACATTTTAAAATTAATATCATATTATAAATCATAATTAAATGATGTAAAATAATGTTCTATAATGATATAATTATATCTAAAACGCAGTAAACAAAAGTATTACATAAAGAACGTAATAAATATATACAAAATATATTAACCTTATTATCTAAACTAAAGTACAATAGTTAACCAATCTCATCGATAGATGGTGGTGTGGCATAAATGTGATACAAAAAGGCAGGTTAAAATTTATTTCTGTAGTTGAGTTTCATATTTGCTTCTAACCTTTATATTAATGACACGCTGCCCTACTGCGTGTTGACAATCTCATTTATTTTTTATTTTTTTACCGCCGAGTACCCTATGTGGTAAATCAAACTTTAAGAGCTATTAACAATTTCGTTTTTCGGCGAGGATCAAACTTTCTTTTTTGCTTACTATGCAGGCACTGATTTATAAGTTCTTTTATGTTTTTTATTGTATCAATCGTGTGAATTAATCTCTTATTTTTAGAATTGGTGTTAACAGCGCCATCTCTCTTAAATCTATACATATAATAAAATGGTAATAACATGTTATGTCTGTTTCTGAATATTGTATAGTATATTAATTTGCGACTAAAATCATTATGGGGACTGTAAATCATTAAATAAGTACATTTTTATAATTTTTAGAATTGTACTATCTGACGGTCTGTCTGTTTGTTTATGGACGCATGACGTTTTGAGTAAACATCTTTTTTTCAATGAAATCCTTAAGAAAATCATAAAGCGTATTATCAAGTTCATTTAATCTTTGTTTTATTGAAATTGGTTAATTCTATCGAAAGTAATGATTATTATTTTGAAATGTAGGTTCGAATTTGTTTAATGGCGCCACAAAATCCCAGAAATAGTAATAAAAAGATTCGTGTGTAAAAAAAACGTTCTATTATAATATATTTCGTATCGTTCTATTATAGTACTTAAAACACAGTAAAAATATGTTTTCCTTAAATTAAAAAAGGATGTTTTCTCACAAAGAACGTAATAGATGGCGTTGTACAAATTACAACCTTTTCTGAATTGCGGTGTTAAGATTTTTCGCAGGTGAATCGTATTGAGACTCACTGTAATAATTTATGATCATGAGTCTGACAAAGTTGCAAGCCTGTAAGGTATATTTACAGAGGTATTGAAATATTTAATTATTCAACAAAACTCTACTAAAAGTAGCAAAATTGCAATAAATGTTGTGATAGTGATATTGTTTTATACCCAGAATCCCTCTAATACCAAATAACTTTTTTTCAGTTTTAAGTGAAGTAAAGTTGCAGCCTATTTACGTCCCACTGCTGGGCACAGGCCTCCTCTCATTTCTGAGAGGGTTTTAGGGCAAGGAAATGTCCACCGCGCTGCCCCAATACGTGTTGGCGAACTTCACATGTCATCGAAATATTTTTTTTTTATTTCTCAAACATGCAGGTTTCCTCACTATGTTTTCCTTCACCGCCGAGCACGTGGTAAATCAGCACTTAAAATTGCAATTAACAATTTCATTGGTGCCGGCGGGGATCGAACCCGGGTTACTGTGAAGCTTACAGCGAGCGCTAACCATCTGAGCTACCACGGCTCAGGCTTCAGTTTTAAGATAGGGATAATAACATCGATGTTGGCATCGCTAGCTCAACATCGATGTTCGATGTTTAGGCTACTCAAAACATCGATGTTGACCATTATCGATGGTTTTTGTATACGTGTAGATACTTACACATTGTTTTAAAATTATGTGGGTATACACAGCAAGGGAAAAGTAATAATTAACTTAAATATCAATTTATGTAGAATAGTTATTATGCGACAACCGACAACGACACTACAAAATAAAGCGAAAGCAGTGACCATTGTGACATTACAGGAGACACTTGACAATTAAGTTTGACTCACCATACTGACATTTTTTTAGATTAACGATGCGTTCAGAAATTCTGAATTATTCAAAATTTTTAATCTTCAGAGCAGATGCAAGATTTAGTTGATATTGATTTCGCGAGTTCGCATTGTTTGCAAGTTCCCAATTATCGATTATGGTTGGTCGATGTTTCGATGTTTGACATATGTCAACATCGATGTTAAAACATCAAAGTTTTAATTTTTAACATTGATGATCATCTAACATCCCTATTTTAAGTGTGTTTCCCACTCAGCGTGTGTTATGCGACGATCGTAAATAAAGCGCAAGGTCAAACTTTACGCGTCAGTACTGATTGTTTTGCACATGGCCAGCTCTACATTGCTTTTTCTCGCGTTAGTAGTCCCCGTAACCTTTTTCTGTACGCCCCGGCTAAGTCTACTTCTATCGTCGTTTACACAGAAGCTCTATCATAAACGACTTAGAACTTTGAGAATATCGATTTATTTTGTTACCACTTATTCATAGAGTAATGATATAAATCGGTTAATATTCTCTTACCCTAAACGTCAAATTCTTTAAGTAAAATCTATATTCGCGAGCTACGCCGCGGGCACAGCTAGTTTAAAATATAAAACAGATAAATTTAAAATTTTGTACAAACGACTTCAATAAGAACATAATTTATTGTTGTTTTTTTTTAAAAACGGCTCGACTGATTTCGATAAAATTTAAATGGGACCACCTGGGAAGTAAACCCTTTGAAACAAAAAACGAGTTTTCCAAATCGATTCAGGTGTCTTTGAGTAATCGGCGTACATACATAAAAAGAAGATTCCGACGAATTGAGAACCTCCTCCTTTTTTGAAAAGTTTGATAAAAGAAGAATGAACAGTCGTAGAGAAGTTTAAACTTCTTACGTGTGTACACAATTACACGCATAATGTTTTTTTATGAAAGAGAAGGCAAACGAGCATACGGCTCACCTGATGGTAAGTGATCACCGTCGCACATAAACATATCAAGGGAATTATATTTTCGTTACCTGCCTTTTAGAAAGGGTTAGGCTCTTTTATTGACGTTATTGTTCGGATTTTGGTGTAGGACTAACCGTGCAAGTTGTTGAGCTCAGCTGGGTCGGTGCGCACGTCGTACAGTTCCCACTCCGGCCGGTAGTAGTACTGCTTCAGCGTCTTGTACCACGGTAGCGGCTGCTTGCTTCGAGTGCGGTTCAGGATGTCCTGCAATTTCGTTCAAGACCTATAGAGCTCTTCTGCTAATGATCTTTTATATTGATTTGGCGAAAGTTTCATATCGTCACGATTTAAACGTCGCTAACTGTAGGGTAGGATGACGTTAGATATATGATCGTTAACAAGTATATGCATAATTTTGACGGCAGCACTGGTTGTTGTTGTCTCTGTCTGGTAAAAACAAAAGTTTGTGGATATTGGTCATTCAAGTAAGAGATATTAAAAATCTTTCTGAACACGTGGTTCTATTAATTAATTTCATACCCAAAAAGTAAGAATATCTACTACCTAGCAGCGTCTTCCTAATAACGACTAAAAATAAAAATAAACTGTGGTTGCCAACCCGCTTGCCAAGCGTGGCAGCTATGGCAAATATGCTTCCCTATGAGGCAATCTATGGGAGAGGCCTATATTCAGCGGTGGACTTTAATAGACTGTAACGGTAACGGCTGAGGAAACTATAAAAATAGAGAAGACAACCGACCATTAAGTCACGTCACTTAGCGTTTTTATTTATTTATTTATTTAAAACTTCATATACACATGTGGTATATAGGCGGACTTAATGCCTAAGGCATTCTCTACCAGTCTACCTTGGGATGATGCAGAGATATAATGAAGTAGGAGTAATAAAAAGGTAATATGTTAATACTAAACTAAAATAACAAAAAAAAATTGTAGCACATCGAAATAAAATACATAAGATATAAATGGTAATAAAAAATATAATATATATATATATATATTATATATATATATATATATATATATATATATATATATATACTTATAAAATAAATTATGATAAAAATAATAAGATAATAAAAATGTATATTACTTAAGTACATATTAAAACGTCAGATGTATGTAAACTCATGAAGATATACAATTATAGACATAATCAAATAAAATATATATATTTATATATAAAATATATATAAACTATTACTATGATGAATCTGCCAATTTATTAGTTAAGTATTCCCGAACCTTCATCTTGAACGCGTAACGATTGCTAGCCGTCCTGATTTCGAGAGGTAGTGCGTTCCAAAGGAGAATAGATTGAATGTGGAAAGAAGAATGAACAAGTCCAGAGCTATGGGAGGGACATAGGAGAAGAAGGTTGTTCGTAGAGCGGAGGTTTCTCTCATGACTAGCGCTAAGCAACTGAAAGTATGGAGATAAGTAGGAACAGGAAGTTGGAGACATCAGGATAGAATAAAGGGTAGTGAGTGCACGCAAACTACGGCGTTAACGAATAGGTAACCATTTTAATTGAGATCGATACGTGGATACATGGTCATACTTTCGAAGATTGAAAATGAATCGAATGCAGTTATTCAGAAGACGGTCATATTTATTGAGAAGATCTGCATTCAGGTCGAAATAACACACATCACCATAGTCGATTAGGGGAAAAATTAAGCTTTGCACAAGCATTGCTTTGATTGCAGATGGCAGAAAATTTTTTAGGCGATAGAGAGAACGCAGGGTACCGGTAACTTTCTGGCTAACGGTCGTTGCTTGGTCTTTCCAACTCAAAGTAGAATCAATTAATAAACCTAGATCCTTCACAGTAGAACACAGTTGGATCTCAGTACTATTAAAAAAGATAGGAGGTAAAGCTACCGTTTTCAATCTATGAATCATCCGACGGCTACCAATTATTATGGCCTGACATTTCGAAGGGTTGACCATTAGGCCAAACCTGTCAGACCAGTTCTTAATATACTCAAGGTCCCTGTTAATTATGTCCACCGCTGTAGAAATATTGTCAATACTCGCTTGTGTGTACAGTTGCAAGTCATCGGCATACAGATGATACGCAGACTGAAGGTCTTGGGTAATGAGATTAATAAATATAGAAAACAACAAAGGAGATAATATGCCGCCTTGAGGAACACCAGCATGTAAGTCAAGCCAGCTAGATGATAGCTCATCGATGCGAACCGACTGCTGGCGACCTCGAAGATATGATGAAAACCAATCCAGTGCTTCGGGTGAGACCATTGAAAGGGAAGGATGGAAATTAGAAGGTCATGACTGATGGTATTAAAGGCGTTCGAGAAGTCAACTAAAACCAACACAGTGACTTTAGTATCCTCTATGCCTGCCATAATATCACCAGTTACTTTCAGGAGTGCGGAAACGGTGCTATGACCGGGCCTAAAGCCAGACTGCAAGGGACTTAGTAAGTTATGACAGGAGATAAACTGCGAAAGTTGCTTGTGGACACAGGCCTCAAGGACCTTGGATAAGAAGGGAAGGATGGATATAGGTCGGAAATGATTGGGTAGAGTGGGATTTGTGATCTTTTGTAATGGAATAACGTAAGCCTTACGCCACAAAGAAGGAAAGTCACCAGAATCCAAGGAGAAGTTAATGATGTGCGAGATAACAGGGAGGATATGGTCAAGTATAAAGATAATCATCCGTCGGCTGATGTTGTCGCAACCTACAGCATTAGATTTAATGGATAGGATTGTCTTCTTGATCTCATCCATAGCTACTGGAGAAAATTGAAAGAGATCAATATCGGGACGAGGTAAACCCATTAAGTGTTCAATAGTAAGACTGGTCTGGTGATCAAGAGGACTGTTGGAGACAAAATGAAAATTAATATCATCCAGACCAATCGTCTTCTGAAACTCACAACGTTGTCGTTTACCGATACCTAAGGTTCCAAGGAACTTCCAGATATTAGCAGGGGAAGAAGATGAGATGTTACTAAGAATAAATCGGCGTTTGGCGTTGCGTATCATCTGATTGCACCGGTTCCTTGCAACTTTATAAAGAGTCCAGTTCTCATCACATCGATTTTTTCTATATTTGCCAAAAGCCCGATCCCTACGTCTCATCGCAATTCGAACCCCAATCGTCATCCATGGCGCAGGTTGACGCTTGAGCTTCACTTTTTTAATCGGAGCATGTACATCATATAGCCTAAGGATAGCTTCATTCAAAGCCTCTATCTTTTCGTCCACAGTGGATGCAGAAACCACGCTGTTCCAGTTTATTTTGGATGCATCCATACAAAGTTTTTCAACGTCTAAGCGACCAAAACAACGCATGTGAAGAGTTTTAGCTGGAGGTTTAGGAGTTTTTAGTAGAATTTTATCTCGGCTAAGACAAACGCGGGACCCGGTTAGGAATTGGGAGGGTTAATCATCGACAAATCTTCCGCGCTCGGAATGTATTTTTTTTTGTATTTAATTAATCAAACTCGATACCACTGTAAAACTTCAAGATACTGTTGTAATGTAAAAGGATGTTTATAGCGTATATACGCCCCACGGCTGGGCATAGGTAGTCACTTATGGGAGGGTTGTTTGTTGATTTCCTCCAATGCGTGTTGGCGGACTTTACATGTTTTCGATATACTTTTTTGGCGTGAAAAATCTATTACCGCGTCTTGGCAGTAACACCGACTCGTATGCCGTGAAGGCAAACGGCATGACGCTCTTTTATATCATTATGCCACAGTTTAAAATTAGTTCCTTAAGCTGTGGGGTTACCGCTTCTGACTCATTTGCGTGTGGTGTGCGCGAATACTTATACACTTAGTTGCTTCCATGTGTGAGTGTGCCTTTCTGTTTTTTTGTATTTACTTTACTCCATATTTCTTTAATCAGTCAATGCTGAAGAACCGACAAACGATGCGAAAGAAAAGTTCTAGAGTAGCAGCCTGGTACTGGTAGGCGAAGTGTAGGGCGTTCCTTACTGATGAGATGGAGTGACGCAGATGGATGTAGTTGGCTCAGGAGCGCCTATGTTTAGCAGTGGACTTGTGAAGGGCTGTAATGAATGAATGAAGGTCTTCGGGGTTCACATCATCAGGAGGAGATTAACATCAGAAAGTTAAAAGAATGTTTAATCTCAATCACCTCGTATCATGGCTGCTGCAAAATGCACAAAATGTCAGAAGTTAAAAATAACTAAAACACTCCAAAACTGTACTGAAAAGACGCTAACCTGGAAGGTGGGCGACACGTAGAGGTCCTGGTCGATGGGGAAGGGCATTGCGTAGTTGAGGTTGTGAATGAGCTTGTAGCGCCTCGTTCGGATCGCGCGCATCGGGTAGTACATCGTGATCTCGTGGTGCGTCTGTGATGCGAACACAGCATCCTCCTCCGAGTGTGGCGGTTCTGAGGTAAGGTACGTTATATCAAATTTGACATAATTAATTAATGAGTTTGACATAAAGACTCAATTGAATTTATGAAAATTGGATAAGTAACAATAATATTTTTTTTTAAAGAATATACAATATTTTATTATATACAATATTAAAAACTATAATAATAATTTAAAAAAAAAACAAAAATAGAAACTTAATTATCATATAGTCCTACTCGCGCCAAGAACGCTAGCTGCGTTTCCCCGCTGAATGGCTATACTTAGCCTTTGAGCGAGAAAAGAACCATGTAAAGATTGACAAATTAATATTAATATTTGAGTATGATACTTTATCTAGAAGAATTTTAAATTGGCATTTTATCTCTCTTTCTGTTGTTTAATCCACGCCTGTCATTGTACCGCAGTGACATCCAAAACTGTCATCTAGCAATCCGTTATTATATTTCTTTTTCTTGATACAGTAGAACGCCGATTATCCGAACGCTGATAAACCGAATCGCCGATTATCCGAATCGGAATATAAAAAATTTAAACCTAGTACAGTAAGTAACATTACTTACTTACATTACTTAATACAGTACTTGGTTAACTGATATTAAAAATAACAGTGAAAAAAATTTAAGTTTTGTGACTGCGCTGGAAAGAGGTGATGGATGTTCGTCGCGAAAAGTAATGAAAAAGGCAAAGGCTTGAGAATGTTGTTTTTACGTGGTTTCTGCAGTAATGATCTATTGGACAACCGAAAAGGCGCGAATGTTCAGTGAAAAAATGGGTGTAGCTGGTTTTACACTTTATAGAGTGTAAAAGCATTATAAACTTAATAAAGTTTATTCTATGTGTGACAGTTCGTTTTTCTATATTACATACCAGTCTATGTCCGATTATACGAATTTTCGATTATCCGAATCGACCCCGGTCCCAATTAATTGGGATAATCGGCGTTCTACTGTAATTAATTAGCTGATAACCTTTTTTCAAAATCGGTAACAAGCTTTTCGTGTCATCGCTCAGTCCCACGTCGTTGCATTCCGCTTCCTCCACCTTAACGCCAAACCAGGCCAGCACGGTGGGCATGATGTCCAACAAACTGACCATAGCCCCTGAGGCCTCGTTTCTCCTCGCATCAGGTTCGGGCGAGACCATGATCAGAGGTTCGCGGAGGCCTGGGTCGTAGAAGTTGGTCCTGCCCGAGGGGAATGGGATGCCGTTGTCCGACGTGTAGATAACGAGGGTATCGTCCTTATGCCCGGCGGACTCTAGCTCTTTTAGTATGAGTCCTACACCTGGAAATGAGAAAACTATTATTAGAAATGTGTGGATGGGATTTGATCTGATTTGATTTGATTTGATCTACTTGATATTAAGTGGCTACTGCTGATCATTTGGTTTCGGGTTCGAATACCGGTTTAGGCCAAAATCAAATATTGTAATTTTCTGACCAGTCCAATTTTCAGTGAAAGTTCTTAATAGCAGCCCGGAGTCAGGAAGTTGGACTTATTTCACAACCCAACCCTGGAAAGCAAGTGTTGGTCCAGCTCCTGACTTCCCTCCGATCGTGTCATCGGTCTATGAGAGCGAGGGAATAGAAAGTGCAGCTGTGCTTGCGTACGCACTCCTGCACTATAATCCTGCCCTGCGCAGAATGTTGATCTCCGTTGAGGCTGGCTGCCGTGACCGAAATTTATTGTAACTCAAAACATTTAGGTCAAATATAATAGCTTACCTTTGCCTTTGCCGTGTAGTGGCGGTTAAGAATATCCACTACCCCATATCTTCCCGTGGGTGTCGTAAAAGGCGACAAAGGGAAACAGGCAGGAGATGGGCAGCAGCATCTTCCTGGTAACGACAAAATACAATAAAAAACTGCGGTTGCCAACCCGCTCGCCAAGCGTGGCAACTATGGCAATATACCCCCCATAATGAAAGTTACGAAGAGACGGCCCCCAGTCCCCGGCGGCCCCGCTATTCCTGGCTACGGTGGCGACCATGGTAACGGCGGGGCAGGGGGTGCTAAGAATCTCCGGTGGAGGTTCGGTTGCCACCTACAACGACTCGACCTGGCAACATACAACGCACGCACCCTGAGGACTGACGAGAAGATTGTGGAGCTGGAAGAAGAGATAGACAAGTTACGCTGGCATATTATAGGATTATCCGAAGTCCGAAGAGAGGGGGAGGACACGGTAATCCTCGAATCCGGCAACTTGCTCTATCACCGGGAGGGCGACCATCTGTCCCAAGGAGGTGTCGGATTTATCGTCCACAAGTCTCTCGTTAACAACGTTGTAAAGATTGAGAGTGTGTCGACGAGGGTTGCGTACCTTATACTCAGAATCACCAAACGGTATTCGCTGAAGGTCATACAGGTTTACGCACCAACCTCGGCACACCCCGATCAGGAGGTGGAGGAAATGTATGAGGATATCTCTAGAGCCATGCATTCCTCCAAAACCCAATATACGGTGTTAATGGGAGACTTCAATGCAAAACTAGGCACAAGAGAGAACGGTGAGCTGAAAGTGGGGAAATTTGGAATAGGGCAACGGAACCCAAGGGGCCAGCAGTTGGCCGACTTCATGGAGAAAGAGGGACTCTTTATGATGAACTCTTTCTTCCAGAAGCGGCCCCACAGGAAGTGGACCTGGTCGAGCCCCGACGGTTCGACAAAAAATGAGATTGACTTCATTATGACGACCAGACGACAACTGTTCAGTGATGTCTCAGTGATCGCGAGGGTGAAAACCGGCAGCGATCACCGAATGGTTAGAGGCACACTGAACCTAAACGTTAAGTTGGAGAGGTCTCGTCTAATGAAGTCAACGCTCCGTCCCCCTCGTGCTCTAATCCAAAGTCCCGAAACCTTTCAGCTCGAGTTGCAAAACCGTTTTCAGTGCCTAGAAGACTGCAATGAAGTGGACGATTTGAATGACAAGCTCGTGGAAACTGTCCATGCGGTCGGAGCTAAGTTCTGCAAGACCCGCCGCAGAAGAACACAAAAACTCTCCGATCACACTCTTAATCTCATGGCTGTTAGACGGGAGATGAAGCTACATTCTTCAACAGATTTGACAGCATACAGGCAACTGAACAGACAGATCTCCAAATGCATGCGGCGGGACTTACGCAACTTCAATACAGCTCGTATTGAAGAAGCGATCGAGCGGAACCAAGGCTCCAAAGTCTTTGCCAGAGATCTGTCTGCCAGAAAGAGCCAACTGTCAAAGCTGAAGACCGAATGTGGCAGCATCGTTTCCGGGGCACCTGAGATTTTGAGTGAGATTGAGAGGTTCTATGGGCAGCTGTACACGTCATCGTTGGAGCCACACGCAAGTGTGAGTAACGATCCAAGAGCGAGTCTTATCCGACATTATTCCGATGATATCCCGGACGTCAGTCTGAGCGAGATTAGAATGGCTCTCCAGCACCTTAAAAACGGCAAGGCCCCAGGCCAGGATGGAATTACAGCGGAGCTTCTGAAAGCGGGTGGAAAACCGGTACATGAAGTCCTTCAGAAGCTCTTTAATTCCGTCCTCCATGGTGGCATTACACCGGAGGCGTGGAGCAGAAGTGCGGTGGTCTTGTTCTTCAAGAAAGGCGACAACGCTCTTTTGAAGAACTACAGACCGATTTCCCTTCTGAGCCGCGTCTACGTGCTGTTTTCGAGAGTCATTACGAATCGTCTCGCGCGCAGACTTGACGACTTCCAGCCTCCCGAACAAGCCGGTTTCCGAAAAGGCTTTAGCACCATAGACCACATACATACCCTTAGGCAAATTGTACAGAAGTCCGAAGAGTACAATTTGCCACTATGTCTGGCGTATGTGGACTATGAGAAAGCCTTTGATTCCGTCGAAATTTGGGCGGTGCTGCAGTCCCTTCAGCGATGCCAAGTTGACTGTCGGTATATCGAAGTGTTGAAGTGCTTGTACAGTAGGGCTACGATGGCTATCCGAGTACAGAACCAGAGTACGAAACCTATCCAATTGCAGAGAGGTGTAAGACAGGGTGACGTCATATCCCCGAAACTCTTCACCGCTGCATTGGAAGATGTTTTCAAGCTTCTGGACTGGAAAGGATACGGTATCAACATCAATGGCGATTACATCACTCACCTTCGATTTGCCGACGATATAGTCCTTATGGCAGAATCGCTGGAGGACCTAAGCACTATGCTCAATGACCTCAATAGTGTTTCCCAACGGATAGGTCTTAAGATGAACATGGACAAAACAAAGATCATGTTTAATGTCCATGTCACACCTATGCCGGTAGTTGTTGGGAACACTAAGCTCGAAGTTGTTGACGAGTATGTTTACCTGGGACAAATAGTCCGATTAGGTAAGTCCAACTTCGACCGAGAGGTCAATCGACGGATTCAACTCGGTTGGGCAGCGTTCGGGAAATTACGGCACATCTTCTCGTCAGGTATACCTCAAAACTTGAAAACGAGACTGTACACCCAGTGCGTGTTGCCAGTGATGACATACGGAACTGAGACGTGGTCCTTCACTGCTGGCCGGATGAGGAAGCTCAAGGTCGCTCAGCGAGCTATGGAGAGGGCTATGCTCGGAGTTTCTCTGCGTGATAAACTCAGAAATGAGGATATCCGCAGTAGAACCAGAGTGACCGACATAGCCCAACGGATTAGTAAGCTGAAGTGGCAATGGGCCGGCCATATAGCTCGAAGAACCGACAACCGATGGGGAAGAAAGGTTCTCGAGTGGCAGCCTCGTACCGGCAGGCGAAGTGTAGGGCGTCCCCCCACTAGATGGAGTGACGACCTGGTAAGATTTGCAGGAAGTCGATGGATGCAGGTGGCTCAGGACCGTGCTTTGTGGCATTCTTTGGGGGAGGCCTATGTTCAGCAGTGGACTTGTGAAGGGCTGTAATGATGATGATGATAATAGCTTACCTTGGTCAAGTCGGGACATGGTCGTATACTGGGCTGCTATGTCCCGCCGAGCTGCTTCAGTGTCCTGTGAATGATTTATCGTTTTAATTGCATGCAGGTGGGTCGGGACCGTGCTTCGTTCTTTTGGGGATGCCTATTATATTCTTTTGGGGATGCCGATGTTCAGCAGCGGACATGTGATGAGATGTAATGATGATAATAATCCCTACCATCATATGATCAAAGATTTCTATGTATTTTACTAGGTGAACACTACGGTACTAATAAATTGCGCACTAAGTTACGGTCAATTCTCCGTAACTTCTTTAGTAGACTACGAGCGGGCGAAGAGACTAGTTTGTTTTGTAAACCGCGAACGCTATTTTCGACAATCTTAAACTGATATTTTTTAATGTGAGTATGATAACGGTGTTGTTATTTATGTGCGCACTTTATCAACGTGATTCGATGTAGTGTATTTCAGGTAACGAGCGCTCATCGGTGGCTTATTTCTAAACTATCACGACAGTTTCAATGTTATAGGCGCGGATGGAGCTCTTATTCCTCTTTAGGCTAGCTTGTTTTTAATTTTACAAACGCCTGCGTAAGTCCGGCGGTGATTGGTCGCATGTTTTATCGCATGACACAGTCGCTCGCTCCTTAAGTAGAGAGCGGTTGCGTCATCGGTCTGTATAAAAGGCACTTGTTTTGGCTCGCCGCTCACTTAGCGGTTAGCCACCGTAGAGTCTATATCACCTGAGGATGCCTCGTGTAGAGGCGAAACACGTGTCGTATTATCATCAGTGGTGTGTCTTGCCTAGTGTAGTGGTGTTGGGAGTAGCGGTGCTGGGATTAGTGGTGACGGGGATAGTGCACGCAATTGAGAGAGGGCGGGAGGTGCTCTTCATACTAGGTAAGACACATCATTTTATTTTATAACGCGGATATTTGCGAAGTAAAATTTTTCTAAAAGCTTTTATATAATGGATTTCCGCAAAGTAACGCCTGATTCTATTAATTATATAAATTAATTGGTCATGTCTTAATAAACAATTAGGACCTGTTCTCAAATTAACCAAAATTCAACCACAATATGCTAATTATAGCTCCACAAAAACTACCAATTTGCATATTTAGTACAAGCAAAGTGTTGTTAAAGGTTGAAATAATACAACTTAATGAGAAGTGCAAAAAATTAAGTCTGCTTGTTATTGTTAGAGAAAGGGCTTCAAAATGGCACATTAAATGTTCTATTTGCCATTACGTATTATTATATACCGATAGCTATATAATTTTCAGTGTTACTTAAAATTAATCTTCATTTTTATCCTTCATAATTGGCAAGCATGGCAGACAGACTGCACATTCTACTTCCTTTTTAAAAGGCCGGCAATAAACCTGTAATTCAGGTGAGACGCATGCTCGTTTGCCACTCTTTTATAAAAAAAAAGTTCGCGCCAAGACTCCCACGTTAAACTTATAACACCACTTTGTTTCGCTCTGTGTCGGGGATTAATTATGGGCAGCAGTCGACACTTACCATCAGGTGAGCCGCATGCTCGTTTGCCCCTCTTTAAATAAAAAAAATCCGCCCAAAACTCCCACGTTAAACTTATAGCACCTCTCTGTTTGCGTCGGCGATTAAGATACATTCACCTGCACGTGATATGGCAGCTGCACTTCATCCCACTGGTAGTACCAGGGTGACCAGTCGGGGATGATGCCCATCTCAGGCTCGCCGGAGCCAAAGCGCTCGCAGAAGACGCCATACTGCGGCTCGTCATGCCCACAGCGGTGGGGGTCGTGGAAGCCCACATACAGGAAGAACGGCCTACGCAAGATAGACCACATAATTTTTTATAGAATAAGGGTGATAAACGAGCACACACTCCACCTAGAAAGTAGACCCTGTGGCCCATAGACAATCTACATCAAAGAATCAAAATATAGATGCATTGTCATCCCTGAGGACTAAGATGCCCCGTTTCCAGTAAAAAGGGTGTTCGGTCCTCTACACTCACCATACGAAATCCAGCAGCATGAACCAGCTATTTTACGCGGGTATTCTGTGAGAGCGTGGTCCTTCCTCGGTCGAGCCGACCCATTCGTGCTACAACTATAATATAGCTGAAGCATGGTTGCTCATTATGACTTCCCGGGTTCAAATCCCTGGTCGAGTCAAAATAAGTTTGTTGGGTTTTTCTGTCAAAAAATGCTCAATAGCAGCCCGGAATCAAGAATTAGGCGGTGTTACACCTCCGTGCCTCGGAAAGCACGTAAAGCCGTTGGTCCTACGCCTGATCTCTCTCCGGTCGCGTCGGTTTACCGTCCCATCGGACTACGAGAGTGAGGGAATAGTGATTGCACCTGTGCTTGCGCATACCCTTGGGCACTATAATCATGTCCTGCGCAGATGTCTAGTCTCTGTTGAGGCTGGCCGCCGTGACCGCAATTCGGTCTGGAGTTACCGTTTAGAAGATCCAATTAAATTTTTTTTTATTTTTGTATGAAAATAAAAATTTAAGAAATATATTTATTTACAGATGTTGTCGTTATGATGTAAATAATATATTCCCAAAAGGTCTTCAGTAAATTAAAAATGACCCGCACATTGACACGCACGCACGCACTCACACATGCAGGCACACGAATTATGATCAATATTAAAAATATCCTGGAATAAAATATACATAAAGCTCTCACTTGTTCTGCTTCTGTGCATTTGCGAGGAACTCCCTAGCCAGCAGCTTCATGTGCGTGATGTTGCGGCCGACTTGATTGATGTGGTTGTTCTCCTCAGTCTGCTCGTAGTCGAAGCGGTACACGCTGCTGGGCCCCACGTGCTTCTTGCCGATGATACCTGAACCCATGACATTGTTACATGCATTAAAAAACATTTGCTTTATGCGTGAGTAGAATTTTTCTACCGATTGTGAACTATGTATTTGTCTGGCAACACATATTACTTTTTATATCGGGCATGTATTCCGATGTATACTTATAAAGATTGAATGACTATGACTATAGGTATAATATTTGTCAGATTTCATAGTGTGGAAGTTAATTTGTTCGGAAAATGTAAAAGTTATTGTTTCTTTCTGTACTATCAGCTATATTTTATATTAATATCATTAAAAATAAATAAACAAAACCAAAGATATTCATAAAAGTAGAGAAATAAAAAATAAAGTTAAAAAAGTGCATAAAAACTAAAGAGCAAATCACTGGCGCATTGTTTTATGTATTAATACACAAAACAAAGCTCTAGAAACTGATAAACTTTTATTAAAAAACAACTTCTCAATTAAATTACATTGTGTACCAAAAAAAAACTTTACCTCAGTGTCAATTAGCGACATCTGGTAACGAGAAAATTATTATCCCTTTGTCTCGGAATCCGAATTGCGTTATTTACTTTTTACTTTTTATATTTATTTAAAGTTATAATTAATTTAGTTTTACAAAATAAAATAAGATTAAATACCTAATTTAAATACGTGTACATGTAATGTTTGTTGGCGATATTCGGTTCATACTTCATAGGTATCATTGGCCCCATTGAATGTTGATTAGCGTCATAAAATAGATGCTGATATTTTTTTAAGTTTGCTAGACTTTTTTTTATAGGATAAAGGTGACAAGCAAGCACATAGTCCATCTAATGGTAAGTGGTTGCTGTGGCCCACAGACATCTACATCTATCCTAGATTACGAATCCAAATGCAGATGCGTTGTCACCCGTGAGGATTAAGATGGAATTCCAGTAAAAAGGGTCTCCGGTTCTCAACACTCACCATACGAAACACAACAGTGTTAAGCTACTATTTTACGCTGGTACTTTGTGAGAGCGTGATCCTTCCCCGATCGAGCCGACCCATTCGTGGTACAACTATACCAGTAAAATTGCTGCAGCATGGCTCTACCGCGTCGAAGACTTCAAATATTCATAAATGTAGTTCTATTTACTGTGAACTTGAGAAGAACTACATTGATGAACGTGAGTGGAAATACATTCGACGTGACATGGCAGCATAAGAGGATCCACTACCCCATATCGTCCCGTGGGTGTCGTAAGAGGCAAGAGAAGGAAACTGATACAGGAGATTGACATTGATAATTTGAGAACAGATTGATGAAAACAAAAATGTAATATCTCTGAAAATATGAATGAAATAACAACTGCATAATAGCCCTAATAAAGTAAAAACTAGTAGCCTGAAAGAGAGTAATCAAGTACGACCGTTTTTTTTTTCGTTTAAGAACTTCCGCGCGTGCCTTTGTAACTTTGCGCCTCTAGCCACGTACCTAGTTTGCCTTAAGGATAATCCGCCACTTTCCGGAGGTAAAGTCTCATCTTAACTAACAAAACGAGCCCAAACTCAGCACACCTATTACTATTACCACTCTTCGAGGAGTTGCAGTAGAAGATATCGAAGTACACCTTCAGGTTTCCATAAAGTCCAAAACGTATAACTATATTTACCAGTATATATAAATCCTGCGTACTTTTAGTGAAACAAAATATTGTAATAAAAATCTGTGATTATAAAAATAATAATAATATTACTCACCTTGCTCAAGTATGTATCAAATTTGGTTTTTGGAATATTTTGTATTTCTAAAGCGACCGATATTTTTCTGCACAAATCGCTTTAAACAAACGACCACTCACGACGGCGGCTGAGCCCGGAGTTTCAGTATATATAAAGGAACTCTGTGACCCGGAGTAAAAAAGTACTCTGTAGCCGGGAGTGGCGCAAAGTATATTTAATAAAATAAATTAAAACAAGGCTGCTCAAAACACCGAAAATTTCGCTATTTCTCAGCTGAAAAAAGTAATTATCACTAAATTTGTTTTGTTTTGACAAAATTAAACTGCCATTTACATTCCATGGCTTCCCACATGATAGATGAAGAGTTTAAAAAATAGATTGAGCTGAACAATTGATATTTTCAAAAGTTATCGTGTTTACGCCTCCATCCTTATTCCTTAAAATAGCTATTGTACGATTTAAAAAAAATAAGTTCAACAATCATTTACTTTCTGACAATGTGCTTTTTATATCATTATAAAAAATATGATTGATTCAATATGATTGTTAGATACGATTTCATGCGACAAAACCTCGGAATATTGATTACCTAATTGCTTTGCGCTAACCGAACTAAAAAGTAGAAAATAATTTTCAATAAGTTTAAAATAAGAAAATAATGATTAACATAAAAAAATCATTTTATTTTAAAAAAGCGTGGGGTGCTTGATGTCATTTGTTGTAAATATTTTTGTGGATATTTGCAAAATTTGGTACTGGTATCCAGTATCCAGTACTATGTGCCCAAAATGCAGCAGTGGACTTTTGCAGACCTATAAAGAAAGAACAAGACGCATTAAGAATACATACCGGTGTAGACTCCATTCTGCCGCAGCAAGTTTGGTAGACTGGTGACGTTGTTGAAAGAGTTGAAGTGATGGATACTGTGGTGAAGGCCGTACATGCCGTTCTGGTGACTGGGCGTGCCTGTGAGGAGCGCCGCGCGGCTGAAGCAAGGTGTAGGTAAATAATTCTTATGTTCACACTTGTATCAATATATATCATTGAGAAACTTGGAACAGTTCGGAACTGGCGTCTGGACGGGCGGGTTTCTATATTAAAAACACTTCATTTTCTTTTGCGACCCGTTTTGCAGAAAATGAGGTGCATTTTTTTATAGAATAAGGGTGACAAACGAGCACACAGTTCACCTGATGGTAAGTAGTTGCTGCGGCCCATAGACATCTACGCCTATATTCGTTTGCGATGCAGGTGCGTTGTCAGTCAGGAGAACTAAGATAGAATGCCTCTTTTCCAGTAAAAAGGGTCTCCGGTTCTCTACACTCACCATACGAAACACAGCAGTGTTAAGCTGCTATTTTACGCTGGTATTCTGTGAAAGCGTGGTCCTTCCCCGTGCGAGCCGATCCATTCGTGCTACAACTATACTACTAATATAGCTGCAGCATGGCTCTACCACGTATAAAAGTATGAAAGCCCTTTAAAAAATCAATTTTTCATTTTAAATCATCTTAAGTTGCTAAACAGTTTATGATATAGACTGTTTTTACATGCACCTCGTATGTAATTAGACGGATCGTTACGGAGAACGAAACGTTTCTTGAATGTCGCATCGGGCAATATTCATCAGAGGTGGCAACGCATTCGTAACCTTCTTTGTTTGAAGGTTGCTGCAGGTGTGCACGGACTGCAGTAGCCACTACTACACACGTACCATCAGGTGGACGGTAATTTCGTTTGTCTGTATGTTTGATAACAAAAAAGTGATATCCAACAACAAAAAGGTCCAATTTGGGAAAATGTATATATGCTTTTACAACAAAATCCCAGAAAATATGCAAGACCAGATATTATCAAACAAAAATTGTTTAATATAAGTATCACAGAGTATTTATCAACCGACTTCAAAAAGGAGGCGGTTTACAAATCGTCGGAATCTTTTTTTATGTATGTTCACCGATTACAAAAAAAATATATACTCGAAGACGCCTATAATTTTATCGAAATCGGTGTAGCGGTTTTTAAAAAGTCAAAAATAAATTATTTTATTTATATTAAAGTCGGTTGTACTAAGTTTTTAACTTTACCACTTGTAGGTATACTACTAAAGAGTACATTATTGATTATAACCCTGGGAATAAGGTGATCGCTACCATACTGTTTCTAAATGCTTTCATACTTAAGGGGCTACTCCATGCGAACGACCTTGAGCATTTGACCTAAGCGTAGCTGTAGCGAGCGGCTCGCCGGAAGAAATATGTAAGACGCCACCTATTGTACGAAAGTAGTATTATTTTTTCAACATCAATAAACTATTTTATGGAAATACACATAGCGTACAAAGATAAATGTATTTTAATTTTTTTATTCTGTATATATTAGTTGCATTAAGTATATTAGAATTATGTATTTTCATATATTATCTAATTATGAAATTTTATAATTAATTATATATTAAAACTGAAGCATTGAAAATTGTGAGTTTAAAAGATACCTATTCACTATAGGTAAATAAATAGATAGCTCGGCTTTTGTACAAATATTTGGTGCAATAAAAAATAAATAAATAAATAGGATGTTTCGCATATGTGTTTTTGATTATTGTTAATTTTTACGTGTCACGTATTGAAAAGTTACCTACTAATTTTTGAACTGAGCACCTTGTAACTTAGCCTGCTTATTACTTATGCTAGCAGATATTATCCTCACCCCAATGATTGATGAGGATGAAAATCAATTTTATTTCTACATACGTAATTATATTTATTTATACATAAGGGTAACTTTAATAAAGGTAATACAAAAATCAACAAGAAGTATAAGGGTTCAATCTTTAAATTTCAGTTGTAAAAAAACGTTACCCCCACACTAGGATTTTCTCCTGTGTCGTGGAGGCAGTTTACAAACATAAATATTGCACAAAGACAAACATCCAGACCCGGAACAATTATTTGTAGGCCATACAAATACTTGTTCCATGCGGGATTCGAACCCGCGGCCCCCAGCGCAACAACTGATTGCTAAGCCACTGCGCCACCATGAAGCTAATACAAAAACTAACTTTGTATTTGCTTCATGGTCGCCGGGTTATAGCTAAAGTGACCATACGTCCCGTTTTGAACGGGACTGTCCCTTTTCTCGGTCTCCTGTCCCATTGTCCCCAAACAAAGCTCCGGGACACAAAATTGTCCCGTAACTCGTTGGATGGAAGTATTCAAAGTCAACAATCTTCAACATAGTTTTTTTTAATCGAATATATTTTATGTCTACCTGGTACGAATGCTCCGGTAGAAAGAGTATTTTTTTATTTTGCATAAATTGTGGACGTCTGAAAGAAACACTTACGGTTCCAGAGTTCTAAAGGCGATGTTGTTAACAAAGATAACAATAAAAAACTTGAGCAGAATTTTATTCTTATTTAAAATCATCACCAACTTTATTACAGCAAATTTAATCCACTGACAAATGTAATTAATAATTAAAAAAAATATGTTGCATTTAATAATTACCGTCTATACCGAATATAATTTTATAGTGAACACTAATTGTATAAAGTTATAGTTTTTAGAGTATAAATAAACCCATGTCCTGTTATGAGTTAAAAAATAAATGGTCAGTTTAGTCTTTTTAGTTAAATTTAGTTTTAAAAATTTTTAGTTTATAGTAAAAAGTAGGTATATTAGTACTTTTTACCGAATTATAAGTATAGAACACCTTATGTACTCAATTATTTTTTGAAAAAGAAGAAAAAACAAGCAATAAATAATATACTATATTTTAGCAAAAAACTATAACTTAGTAATACTAATTATAACTTAGAACATAAATGAAAAACTCATAACTGACTTTTTGGCCCGACCCAGGATTCGAACCCGGGACCTCATGATCAGCAGTCGCACTACTACAACCACTAGACCAACGAGGCAGCACTATACCTGATAAGATATTGTGGTTGGGTGATAATATTGAATTAGCCTTTTATAGTGTAAATTATAATATTTGTCGAAATTTTAATTATGGATTCGAACCTTACATGCTAATGGTGCTTCATTTTTTTATTTGCATTTACTTCAAAGAAAATACTCGCAAAAAGCTTCATCGCGCAGTAAAAAGCACAACAAATATATGTATAACTAATACGAAAAATTATACCCAAAACAAACAAATAATACTACCTATAAATAACCTAATAAGTAATAATATTATCGACTCATATGACGTGGCGTATGCGTTGGTCGACGCTCTAACGACACGGGCTTCACGTCGAAGAGCTCAGCGCTCACTGACTTCACCAAGCCCGTGAGCAGTAAATATGCCCAGATTTTAAAATAATTTCTTAATAAAATCAAATATTGGTCTTTTGAAAAAAAATTTACTATAGAAATGTTCATTAATAAATTGCCTATCCATTGGTGTAAATCGCAAAATAAAATAATACTTACTTTACGAGGAGATGCATGTTATCAATAATAATTTCACATTTATGTGGTTTCGTTGTAAGGAGATTATATTAATATTTATTCCTTTAAAAAAAAATTGGATATAGCTTTTATGGAATCAAGATTATGTAGAAATATAATGTGTTTTTTATTTGTTGATATATCTTTTAAATAAAAAGTAGATAGCTTCTAAAAACTGCCCAAATAACGACTGGCGCGACATTTTGCTCAACCTGCGCCTTAATGATGCCCACGACTTATTCTGCCACCAGGGCGGCGCCACTAGAAAGTAAGGTATAATGTTTGACAGATTCCATAGCTGGGAAGTTAATTAGTTAATTAGTTTCTGTATTATTAGCTATATTTTATATTTATTAGTATAAAAAAATCAAGCCACAAACATTCAAAAAAGTAGAAAATTTTAATAAAGTTAAAAATGTGCAAGAAATTAAAAAGCAAACCACTGAGGAATTGTTTTGTGTATTAATATAATATTCTAGAAAATGATAAACTTTTATTTAAAACTAACTTCTCAAATAAATGACATTTGGTAATAAAACAACTTTACCTCAGTGTCAACTAGCGACATCTGGTGAGCAGAAAATTATTAGCCCTCATTGTATAAATTATTTATTCTTGCTAGTTCTTCCCAGGGCAGACGTTTTCTTTCCGAACCAGTGGTATTACTTAAATGACTTTCAATACCTAAGTATTCCTGTAATCTATAATATGGAATAAAAATGATTCTATTCTATTCTATTCTTGCAAATACCTGGGTGAACAACTGCTGACAGAAGTGAAGGCATTGTTGAATATGAGACCGCGACGCGCCAACGCATCGATGTTCGGAGTCTGACAGATCTTGTTGTTGTACGCGCCCAGTTCGAACCCGCCATCATCAGCTGAGGAAAAGTACCAATCATCATTAACATTTGTTAATAGAATAAGGGCGACAAGCGGTCACGCAGTCCCCCGAAGTTAACTGGATATTGTAGTCCATATATATTTCATAGACATCTATCCGCGATTAAGTATTAAAATGCAGATGCGTTGCCACCACTGAGAACTAAGATGGAAATCCTCGCTACCAGTAAAATGGGTCTCCGGTTCTCTACACTCATCATACGAAACACAGCATTACACTGCTCTTTTATGCTGGTATTCTGTGAAAGCGGGTACTACTCCAGTCGAGCCGACTCATTCGTACTACAGTCATAAAATTGCTGCAGCGTGGATCTACCGCGTAAGAGATTTCTTTCCATCAGTCTATACCCATTGCTGGAGAACAACTTTTCCAAATGCTAACCGCATCTGCATAAAGTGCTTATTAATTTACTATAATCTGGCGACCGATAAATGGCGTTTCATTCATTACATCCCATTAGAAGTCCACTGCTGGACAAAGGTCTCCTCCATGAATTGTCTTATAGGGGGGATTTTTGTCATACCTCGCTTGGCAAGCAATTTCTATTATTACGTTAAAATCTTTAATTACTTATTGAATTAACTTTCAATATTACGTAGCGACCGTGCCAGGATTTACATAACTAATAATAATCCTATCGGATTGAACATAAAAACTAAGTACATACGCAATTAACATACGGGTCTAAGCCAGTATAACTAAATACCATAAAAGTGGTGGTTGATTCTTGTCTCTGATCAGGACTAATTACCCAAGCTTCAGATCGTTAGTTAAAAATGCCACTTGACATAAGTATTGCTGAAGGAGACAGACATTCATTGGAAAATCGTTGACAAAAACGTTTTTCAATTTTTATTTTCTGACGTAACACTAAAGTCTGTTTATGTTCGCGTGGCCAACGTCTGGATGAAAAACTGATAAGAGCGAGCGTCCATTTAAAAAGTGGGAAGGAGAAAGGTAACTTAGGTGAGAAGGATCAGACGATAATCGATTTAAGGGTCTTGAATTTAAAATGGCTTCTATTTGTATGAAGTATATTTGTAGGAGCCGTGGTAGCTCAGATGGTTAGCGCTCGCTGTAAGCTTCACAGTACTCGAGCAACCCTGGTTCGATCCCCGCCGGTACCCATGAAATTGTTAATTGCAATTTTAAGTGCTGATTTACCACGTGCTCGGCGGTGAAGGAAAACATCGTGAGGAAACCTGCATGTCTGAGAAATAAGAAAAAAAAATATTTCGAAGACATGTGAAGTTCGCCAACACGCATTGGGGAAGCGCGGCGGACATTTCCTTGCCCTAAAACCCTCTCAGAAATGAGAGGAGGCCTGTGCCCAGCAGTGGGACGTAAATAGGCTGCAAATTTACTTTACTTTACTTTATATTTGTGAAACTGTGAAGTGTTCTAATTTGGTCCTCAGAAGTGGAAACGCTACTGTAACCTTGTTAGAAGTTAGCTGCAGTTTTAAAAAATAAAAAATGACTTTCAATAAGTATTATATATAATAATCTATATTGAATAAAAATCATTTTATTTTATTCTGTTCTGTTCAATTCTATTCTATTTGTCTATGGACTGCAATAGGCACTTAGATACCAGGCGGACTCTAAGTTAGTTTGTTACCAAGTCACGATTATAAATTTGCTAATTACAAAACCAATTGCTTTTTAAATTCCAGCATTAGGTAATTACTGTTTCCTTAGCCTAAAATTCAAAACTTTAACTACTTATAATGCTGAATTTTCTAGTCTTTCCTATTAAATGGTGAAAAACTGAAAGTTTTTTTGTCTGATTTAATAGAGAATAGAAATTTTACACAATTAAATCTTTTTATAACTCAATACCAAATTTATAATGGATAAATAATTCTTTGAATTATTCTGTACCTTGCTCATATGTTATCGTTTAATTTCTTCCAATCAATAATAACTGGAAACTACTAAGATAATAGAAGTGCTTGTTACACAAAATTTAAAGGTAATAAGTGGGTAGAAAAAACTGCCATAGCACGGACACAGTCTCAAGAACATAATATTTCAGACTGTGGCACGGAACACATTTTAAACCGTTCGACTCGCGCTTGACCGATTAAAGCTTAAAAAAGTAAAAGTAGTCAGAACATGTTCGTGTCAAAATATAATATGGTCTGAGAATAACTTGTTGCTTAATTTCAAAGGCACGTGATATTAAGCCGGGTCTCCACCAAAGTTTTGTTACCAACTTTTGTGTTGCCAACATGTGTTGGTAACAAATGTTTCTCTAAAAACTTGAAACAATGTCGAGAACCGTGTTTCCATTTTCGACGGCAAAATCAAAGGAATACACTTGTTGCAAACATTTTTATTTTTTATTTAATGATACATAAAACATATTACAATAGTGCATAGTTACTATACAGCACCATTAAACCGCAAAACGGTTTGTATTGGTGCTTGCAGACGTCTATACGCATAAATATATTATTTTAATAACTACCATCGTATAATTGATAAAGTTAAGCATGATAACAACTAACAATCTATTCATTGTATGAGTGACATGACGACAAACAGGTTTCGCTAGTTTACCGCGATGAGCGTGTACGGTATACATATACAGGCTGATTTTTATAGCAATTTTTTTTAAATAATTATTTAATAAAATAATTTTATATATACCTATATATATACACATACACACACACACACACACACATATATATATATATATATACATACATACACACACACATATATATACATACATACATACATACACACATATATATGTGTATATATATATATACCTAGTCAGGTCATAAGTATTGTCACACAGTAAAAACTTTTCTTTTAGAATGCTGGCCACAAAAAAGTTTATTGAATTCGAATTTCGAATTGTTCATGAATTATAAAACTGTATACTTTTTAGAACTTTACTCATTTTTAAATATGGAGTGGACGCTTAAAGAAGATCGTGTTGCAGTTATTGCGTTGCATCGTTGCGGTTACGCGCCAATTCAAATTTTTGACATACTGAAAAATTTGAATATAACCAAAAGATTCGTTTATCGTACCATCAAACGATACAATGAAGACTCTAGTGTAGATGACGGGTCAAGAAGTGGTCGCCCTCGGTCTGTTAGGACTCCAGCAGTGATAAAAGCTGTGAAGGCGCGAATTCAAAGAAATCCCAAACGTAAGCATAAACTGTTGGCCCTTCAGATAGGGTTAAGCAGAACCACGGTGAAAAGGGTGTTAAATGAAGACTTAGGGCTTCGGGCATATCGAAGAAAAACAGGACTTCGTTTGAATGCTCGTCTAATGGACCTGAGACTGAAGAGATGCCGCGCTTTGTTGAAGCGGTACGCGGGTAAATAATATCGGGAAATTCTTTTTTCAGATGAAAAAATTTTTACCGCAGAAGAGAGCTACAACAAACAAAATGATGAGGTGTACGCATACAGTAGTGAAGAAGCGAGCAACCGTATTCCGCGTGTCCAACGAGGTCATTTTCCATCTTCGCTCATGGTATGGTTGGGAGTTTGTTATTGGGGCTTAACAGAGGTACATTTTTGTGAGAAAGGTGTAAAAACGAATGCAGTTGTGTATCAAAATACAGTCCTGACGAACCTTGTGGAACCTGTTTCTCATACCATGTTCAATAACAGGCACTGGGTATTCCAACAAGATTCGGCGCTAGCTCATAGAGCGAAGAGCACACAAGACTGACTGGCGGCGCGTGAAATCGACTTCATCCGGCACAAAGACTGGCCCTCCTCCAGTCCAGATTTGAATCCGTTAGATTACAAGATATGGCAACACTTGGAGGAAAAGGCGTGCTCAAAGCCTCATCCCAATTTGGAGTCACTCAAGACATCCTTGATTAAGGCAGCCGCCGATATTGACATGGACCTCGTTCGTGCTGCGATAGACGACTGGCCGCGCAGATTGAAGGCCTGTATTCAAAATCACGGAGGTCATTTTGAATAAACTTTAGTGTCATAAGAATCTATGTTTTGTTAAGTTCATTTTGGTATATAAATGGTTACATAATGAATAAACTTGTTTCAATTATTTTATATTAAACATGTGACAGAATTTATTACCTGACTAGGTATATACATACAGATTTAATATCATTTGAGAATTCATTAAGGAAGACAATTCAGGTTTTCTAGTACATAATGCTTAATTTTATATTTTAAGTATTTTTTCTGTCAATTCGTCCTTAAGGTTTTCTGGAAGATCGTTTAGAATAGAAGCTAATATATTAACAGTTCTCCTGTCTCCATAAAAGTTATTTGATTTTATTTTTGCTACAGATTTTTTATTACTTTGTCGCGTTCTATCAGAATATTTTACCATTTTTAATGAAGGAATCGTATTAAAATCTTCAATCATGATATGACATTCAAGTTTTTTATTTATAGGTATGACGTTACAGTATTTAAAAAGACCAATATAGTTATTTTCTTTATATTTTTGTTTTACCTTGAGCTTTAAGAATTTTAGTTGTAAATTAAAGATCCTTCTTATGTGTGTTTTGAATGTACGACCATAACTTGTTATTCCATATGATATTATCGAATCTACTAGCGCATGGTACATTGATAGTACTTTTAGTATTGATACTGAATATGGTACTTTATTCTTGATAATATAGAATATTGCAAGCAATGACCTTAGCTTATTACAAATCATATCAATATGAGGAGCCCAGTTAAATCTGTTGTCTATGATTAAGCCTAGGTATTTTTGATTTGTAACTTGTTCTATAGGTGTACATATACATTTTTGAATAAGGCCATGCATACATTCATGTGTATGTGTGTATGCATGGCCCATGTTCCCTCGGTGGAGACGCTTGTTGGAAACATTTGTCGGCAACATCGGAAACAAATGTTGGTAAATTTTGTTGAGTTGTAAACAGTTAGAAACATAAATGTTGTCAACATTTTTGGTGGATACGCGGCTTTATACAAGTAGTGCTACTAACTTGTTA